TGAGTTTTCCCAATTTTTTCCCATCCACAAGGTTGCTCCATGGCCATAGAGTTAATTCCAGGATGGATAGCAAGCTGCATTCTGGGAATTACAGGGAATTTCAGTCCCCAGGTTAAGTTGGAAAATCTAAGCGACCAAAAGAAAAGAGCTCCATTCATGAGGTTTTTAACAGGAAGCATCTTGTTCCCAGGGAAATTCCATGGAGAACAGTCACCTGCCCTAGTATAGGAGCTGGATGGGGGTGTTGGGATCCTACCTGAGGCACTGGTGGGATATTTTCCCTTTGGGAGCTTCCTAAAGAAGCCACTCGTACCCCTGCACTGTGTCGGGGTTGTGGTCGGCGCATCCAGGACTCTTCCTGTAGGTTATAATCCCTGACTTCCTTAGGACTTCGGGATCTAGGATTCCTGCCCAAAGGTTGTCATCCCATATTTTGTTATAAGGGGATTCAGTGCCGTTTTTATCCCCCAAAAATTGGGTTTCCTATTAATTAGTGGCTGTTGTTAATTAGGACACTTGGGATTGAAGTACTTCAGTTTTCCATGTTCCCTGTGTTTAGGATGGAATTGGAATGAATGAATTCCAATTGGAATTAGCTACCTTGAAGTGCAGGGAAGTTTCATTGCTCCAGGTAAGGAGTAGCTCTGCCTTCCTTATAACCTTTTTCCTCGTAACTATTTTGGAACATGATCTCATCTTCCTCATGGAGAGGGGGAAAAGCCCATCCTGGAATTTTGAGGGTTCCCGAGCTCCTGTGAAAAATCATGGGATTGTGGCTCAGAATTCCCTGAAACTGGGTACGTTGGGAAGTTGCAGAAAGGGAGCCCGAGTGAGTTGGGTGGTGCTGGATCCGTGTTCTCCGGACATGAACGTGGAGGTCATTCCATGTCCTTGCTGACAGCCTGGAGCGGGAATGTGATGCTGGGAGCAGCGTAGGGAGGAGTGTTAAAGAGGCAGGATCCTTTTCTGGTGGCTCCAACACCTTCCCTCCTTGTTTTCCCTTGGATATTTTACCTCTGGATTCTTTGGCTCCTGTCCTGATAATGTGAAATCCTGTGGCAGGCTTGGGAATTGCTGGATTTGGTTCCTCCCTGCTTGGGAATTGCTGGATTTGGTTCTTCCCTGCTCTTGTGTAGGTGAGGTTTTGTCACAAGAATTCCACAGCCCAGATTGTTTCCCTGCACTTTTCCTGGTGGGAGCAGCGGATTTTCCCTTTTCCAACTTTACTTCAGGCTGGAACAATTCCAGCAGTGCCAGGAAATCATTGAACTGAGGGGGAATTATTTGTGCTGTTGGTCTGTATATGTTTGGAATTTGGGAAGAGAAATGGATTGTTTGGGACCGGTAAGAGACGTGAACTTGTAGGAGTTGATGGGTTTGGAATGACCTGCTGAAAGATCCTTGGGAATGGTTCAACTGGATCCAGGGGGCTGTTTGTGGGAGTAGAGGTGCTGTGGGGGAACCTTGGGCAAAGGGGGATATTTGGGAATTGTCAGCAGCAATCCTGAGTGAGGAATGGCATGGAAAAACAGGGAGAGCTCCATTGAGTCATTTACAGTAGCCTGAGGAGAGCTCTTAAATCCACATCTCATCCCAAAGGATTTTGGGATATGACAGGTTATCCATGGCCTTTGGGGACATACCTGATGATCTTCCCCAGGTTGGTTTCTAGGAATGTGGGATACAACGATTGAGGGAATTCCTGGAATAACCAGGCAGCACCAGAAAAATGACAATAGGTGGTGCCCAGGTCAGGTTTGGGCTGTTTGAAGCCAATTCCCAACATTATTGAGCCTGGAATTGTCACAGATTTGGGATCCACGTTTAATGAGTACAAAGTGTATCAGGAAAAGATCCCAAAAAACTTCCCGGATAGCCCCAATTCCCAGCATTTTTGACTTGCAACTGTGGATGTACAGCTTGGTCATGGAATGTGGGAAGAGGAAAATGGAATAAGTTATGGGTTGATATCATGGGATAAGTTGAGGGCCACAAAGCAGGAAAAGCACAGTTTGGGAATGCTGGTGAGCAGGGAGAGGAGTTGAGAAGCCCTGGAAGGCCTTGGAATTCCATCTTCCTTCAGGAGGGAGGGAATTTGGCACTGCCTATGATTCCTGGGAGGTGAGCAGAGTGTTCTGTCGGAGGGAAGCTCTCCAGAACTCTTCCCATCCCTGTGGGGCCGGTCCCTCTCCCTGTCCCCTCCTGCCCATCTGTGAGGAGGGAGGCAGGAAGGAGTGCCCGGGAATGGTGCTGACCGCCCAGTTTTCCCACTTTTGGCAGGGATTTCCCTGCTCTCCCACTTCATTCGCTCTCCCAGTGTTGGCAACTGTGGGTCTTGGGGGCTTTCCCGGCAAATGACTCATCCCCAGGGAATTCCTGAGGCAATGAGTCAAGTTATTGGGAAAACTGCTTGCCCGCTACTGTAAACTCAGGAGCCAAGGAGCTGCCTGAAGTAGGATAGAGAGGCAGTTTCTAGTGGGAATTCTTTTGGAATGACATGGCTTGTCCTCTCGCTTTCCAAAGGCATTGCTTCTGGATGAGCTGGCGCAGGGAGACACCACTCAGTTAAATAGTGCACCTTGAAATATCCACCTAACTTTATTTTTTCCTTGGCTTTTTTTTTTTTTTTTTTTTTAAGCTGGTAAGAATTCCAGGGTGGAAAGCTGTCAGGATTGTAGGCAAAAATAACTTTTCCTAAAGGAATGAGACTCCATCTAAAATGGTCTGTGGGCAAGCACTGCATCCTGCTTGGATCTGCCCTTGCTGGCTTCACCCACCCCTGGGAATTTTTGCTATGGAAAAACTAACAATTGTGTAGTGAACAACCAGGAATTAAGGAAACCAAGGATTTTCATTCCTGATAATTATATCCAGAAAGAATTACACTGGGAAGCAGGTCTGGGATGCTCAGCTGCCCATCACTTACAGCAGGTGGTGCTTCCAGTAGCCATCACCTCATCCCAACATCCCATTCCCAGCCCCGTTCCAGCCAAGCTTTCCTTGGGAGTGGATTTTATCCCCCTCTGGAACACCAAGTTCTCTTTCAACCCCCAAATTAGTTTGGATTCCATCCCCTTTTTTCCCCCCTGGAAACTTGGCCGTTATTTTTGCTGGAGCTCGGGAGTGTCGGGAAGCTGCTTTTGTGGGCTGTGCCGGCAGGGAATGTGGGTGGCTGTGGCAACGGCACAAGGACTGGGGGATGGGTTTAACTCCTGGAGTTCTCAGCAGCCTTGGATTGTGCTCCTTCTCCACTCCCAGATTCCCAGGAATCAACTGGTGGTGTTTCTCTACTTATTATTCCCGAAGGCTTTGGGTTTTCCGGAGGGTGACAGGTGTGGAGCTCTGGAAGTGAATTGTCATCTGGCTGAGGTCAGGGAGAAAAATATCAGGAATCTTGGAGCTGTGCGGGGGGTGAGGGGGGGTGTTTCATCCCTCTCCAAGCACCTAATTTGGACAGTTAGAATGTCTCCCTGCCTGAAGGAGTTATCCCTAAAAACCTCTTCTTTGGATGGTTGGGAAGGTCTGGAATTAATAAACCTTGTTGGGTCTTTGATACAAGAGGGACATGGTGGTATCCAGGGAAGGGTTTGGAGCACCAGGAACGGCTGAGGGAGCTGGGAGGGCTCATCCTGGAAAAAGGGAGGATCGGGGGGAACTTTTTGCTCTCCACAAGTCCCTGCCTGGATGTTGGATCCTGGTGGGATCAAGCTATGCTCCCAGGGAACAAGGGACAGGATGAGAGAGAACGGCCTCAAGACATTCCAGGGAAGGTTTAAATTGGATATTAGGGAAAATTCCTTCCTGGAAAAAGGGTTGGAAAACATTGGAACACTCCAGTTGTGGAGTCCCCATTCCTGGAGGGATTTAAAATCTGTGTGGAAGTGGCACTTGGGGATGTGGATTAGTGGCGGACTTGGAAGTGTTGGGAATGACTGGACTTGATCCTGGAGGGCTTTTCCAACCTTAATGGTTCTGTGATCTGGAAAAATCCTGGCCTGTGGGGTGTCGCTGAAGATCCAGTGGGGAGAACCCTTAGGATCACTTGGTTTGTGGGATGCAATTCCTGGGAACAGGCTCTGGATTGGTCCCATTTTTTTAGAGGAGGGCTATTCCAAAGTTGAGGATTTCTTTGTTTCTCCTTAATTTGGGGAATCCCTTATCCTGCTTTTACCTGGGAACAAGTGCTGTGAGTGACACTTGTGGGACTTTTCCATCCATTAGGATTTCCAAGATAATCCTGGTTTTCCTGGAAACTCCACACTGTGAGCAAGTGCATGCCAGGGAGAAAGAGGTATTTTTCCAGTGTCTCCTTGTTAAATCATTCCCAGGGTAACAGGTAGGAAGTGTGGGATTTGGGAGACCTATTCCCACCCAAGGCAGTAGTTGGGGAAAATAGGGATGGATTGAAGCAAGGACAGTGTGCTCCTGGATGGGGTTATGCTCCAAAGGGGCTTTGGGAAGGAATACTAGGGATTAGCTGGGATGGAAGGAATATTAGGGATTAGCAGTGCTTTGTCCTGGTTATACCAACCTTGTATCCATCCCTGTTGCAATTCCAAGGGTGGATTTACCCCAGGATTTGGGGGTTAAACCCATGAGATGAACAGGTGAGTCCTTGTTCCCTGGGTTTTGAAGGGCAGTTTCTGCTCCGAGGTGTATTTTGGGAATTTGTGTCAGTGGGCAGTTCCAGATCAAGCCTAATCCCATTAACTGTGTCCCTGTGACATTGTGGAGGTGACGGTGCTGCCTCATCCCGAGGGAGCTGCATCCGAACTGTGCCGAGCCCCAGGAGGCTCCTGGAAACCCTGAGCCCTGGCTCTGCCACGGGCTCCTTTAATTCCCTTCTTCTTGGAAAATGGGAGGTTATCAAGGAGAGTCTTAAAGATATTCCCAAAGTTAAAATCCCCATTGATTTTTGCTCCGTGCTGGGATTTGCTTATAAATAGGGCTCTTAAATGTTGCATTGATCCGTGGAATGTTCCTTGAGGTTGGGATCTGATCTCGAAATCACAGTGAGGGCACAACTCTCCTCACAGCCTTCCAGCAGCTGCTTCCCTTTGGGAAGGAGCTTTCCCTGCAATTCCTGCAGGCTCTGCTTCCAGCAGGTTATTTCCTGAAAGGAAAGGGCTCATCTTCCTTTGGTGCTGTGGATTTTGTCCCCCCAACCTGATTGTCATGGAATGCTAGAATGGATTGGGTGGGAAGGGACCTTAAAGCCCATCCAGTTCCAACCCCAACACCTTCCACTATCCCAGGTTACTCTGGCCTGGATTTGAACACTTCAGGGATGAGGCAGCCACAATTTCCCTGGGAAATCTGTTCCAGCACCTTTCCACTCTCACAGGGAAGGATTTCTTCCCAGTATCGCATTTAACCCACCCTCTGGCAGTGGGAAGCCATTCCTCCATGTCTTGTCACTCCAGACCCTTTTCCTAAGTCCCTTTCCAGCTCTCTTGGAGCCCCTTTAGACCCCTCTTTTCCCTGAAGCTTTCTCCAGGCTCAGCCATCCCAGCAAATTCCTCAGACCAGCTTCAGGACACCCTGTGTGGATGTCACCACATACCCCCTTCTCCCTGCGAGGCGAGAACAATTCCCAGATTGTGTGGAATCAACTCGGGAATAGAAAGAGCTTCATTTAAAGCTCTTCAGAACAGCTGGAAGGGGCCCGATGGAGTCAGATCCAAGGCGGAATTGATGATTTCCGGCAAGTCCAGTAAGTGTTTTATGGGAACAGGAGGGTTCTGTGAGCTGCAGGGGGATGATCCCACCCCTATTCCATGTGGGAAGAAAAGAGGTGTCATTTCAGCCAGGGAAGGGGATCTTGGGATGCTCAACGTGTGCTGGAATCCTGGGAACAGCAAAGGGCTTTGTCCTGGAGTGGCACCTGCAACCATCTGCTGAGGCCTGGGAACACCCTTTCTTTTGGGAATTTTGTAGCCCCGAGCAGTGGAGATAAAGGTGTGGCTTGTTTTGAGGGAATCTCTCTGAACTCTGGAATTTGGGGAGAGGGCGCTGGCAGGGATGAAGTGGGATTGCTTTGGCAGACCTGGATCGTGTGAAGGTGCCGGGAGGTGCCTGAGGGGAAAGGTAGGGAATGAATATTGGGATAGCAGGGCTTGATCCATGCAGACGTTCCCAGGGATCTGTCAGAAGGGGGGAAAACTCCTGGCAGATCCTGTTTCATTGTGATTTGGTCCTCCCAGCTTTTGCTCTGGGCTGAGAATGTGGAAGCAGGGATGGGGATCTACAGGGAGCTGAGACCCTGTGGATCCAGGAATGGGGATCTGCTGGGAGCTGTGACCCTGTGGATCCAGGAATGGGGATCTACTGGGGATTATGTGGGTGCAGGGATGGGGATTTGCAGGGGGGCTGTGACTGTGGATCCAGGGGTGGGGATTTGTAGGGAGTTGTGACCCTCTGGATCCAGGGGTGGGGATTTGCAAGGAGTTGGGGATGCAGGGATGGGGATTTGCAGGGGTTGGGGATGCAGGGATGGGGATTTGCAGGGGTTGGGGATGCAGGGATGGGGATTTGCAGGGGTTGGGGATGCAGGGATGGGGATTTGCAGGGATGGGGATTTGCAGGGGTTGGGGATGCAGGGATGGGGATTTGCAGGGGTTGGGGATGCAGGGATGGGGATTTGCAGGGGTTGGGGATGCAGGGATGGGGATTTGCAGGGGTTGGGGATGCAGGAATGGGGATTTGCAGGGATTGGGGATGCAGGGATTGGGATTTGCAGGATTTGCAGGGGTTGGGAATGCAGGGATGGGATCTGCAGGATTTGCAGGGGTTGGGGATGCAGGGATGGGATCTGCAGGATTTGCAGGGGTTGGGGATGCAGGGATGGGATCTGCAGGATTTGCAGGGGTTGGGGATGCAGGGATGGGATCTGCAGGATTTGCAGGGGTTGGGGATGCAGGGATGGGATCTGCAGGATTTGCAGGGGTTGGGGATGCAGGGATGGGATCTGCAGGATTTGCAGGGGTTGGGGATGCAGGGATGGGATCTGCAGGAGTGGGAGCTCTGGGCTGTGTGGGTGCTGCTGTGCCTCAGGAATGTGGGTGATCTGGGAGCTTCCAGCAAATCCTGCTTGTGGATTTGGGTGGTGGGAGTGGGTGACTCCGGGGGTGCTGCCGTGCCGTGGGCACAGCCCTTTTCCATCAGCTTTTCCCCGGGTACCTTCTCCCGAAGCTCCTTTCAGGTGGGATGGGGGATTAGGCAAATCCGGAATGTTGTCTCGCTGGAGCATTTTTTTCCTGTGTTCTTTTCCCTGAGCCTTTCCCTCCAGGCAGACAATTCTACCCTTCCCCCACATCCTGTCACAGCCCAGAGCGTGTCACAAGGAATTAACGGCTGGAAAGGCTGGGAAGGCTCCTCTGGAACAGTCTCCTTTCTGTGCCCGGGTGGCCCCTCTGTGTGTCCCTTTGTGTCCCATCCAAGTCCCCTCCCCCTGGCCTTTCCCTAGAGCCTCTATGGCCTTTCCCTGCAAGGCCTGATGCCATCCCAGGGCTCCAGGCAGCATTCTCTGTTTCTCGGCGGGAAGAGGGAGGAGGTTTGTGCTGCTGGAGCTCTGGCGGCTTTTCCTGCTCTTCCGTCTCTGCATCCCTGACAGCATCGCTCCCAATCCTCCTTCCCACAATCCACACACAATCTCCTCAGAATAGGGATGATGTCACTTCCTTCCAGAGGGTGCCGGGGGTGTGGAACTGGGGGGGAGTCACGACCCCTGGCTCTCGGCATTCCCGGGAATAAATGAGGGAGCCGCTCTGAGGATGATGCCTGACTCTGTCGGCAGGCGATTCCCACGCCGTCCTTCCCTTTGCCGAGTGGGATTTTCCATGGCTACACGAAGAGTTGGTTGTTCCTTTCTGAGCTTGTGATGCCTGTCTCCGTGGAATTGCACTTTTCCTGGGAAACCCTGCCGGGAGAGGAGGATGCTCAGCGGCTGGACCACATGCCATGTAAGATTTTTGCTTCCATAGATCATTCCCTTCTCTGAGGGGATTCCTGGGTCATGTGCTTCCCTGATTTCAGTGCTGGGAGCTTGGGGGCTGCTTGTGCTGGGATTTGAGATCCTGGGAATTGCTCTTCTTAGGAGCAAGGTGGGGGTTTTTGCTCGGGGCTGTTTGCACTCTGACTTTCCCCTTCCATCCCAAATCCTCTGCTCCATCACATCTCCAGTGTCTCAATGTAATTCTTGGGATCAGCAACGCTGGGATGAAGCTGGAGATTCCTTCCACTGAGAGCTTTTCTTGGAGGGTTTTGGTCTTGGGCCTTCCATCATCTCCCTCCTTTCCAAGACCTCAAACCTCGGGCTTTAAATTTGAGAGTCTTTTGGGAATCAATTGGGGATGTTCCCGCAGTGCATTGGGAGCTTTGTAGTGTCACTCCAGAGTGCAGTGACATTCCCACAGGGAGTATCCCAGTGAGTGACAGGCTGCTCCACTCTGTCCCCATCCGCTGCTGTGGATGAGGAATTCCCATTGGATGTTTGTTGCTGTTGTCGATATCCTGGTTGTCCAGCTGGGAGAGGGTGGTGGAAGCTGAGAGAGCACAACTGGAGTCATGGAAAGCAGGATTCAGCCAAGGGATGATGGGAATGGGGTCTGAGCTGGGCTAGGAGGTGCTGTCCAAAGGCAGGGAGAGAGATGTTGGAAGTGTATCCAGGGTTTGCAATATCCGAGATATCCCAGTGGATATCCAGGAAGGAGTCTCCAGAGGGGCAGTTTGAAGGTAGAACTGGAATGTGCTGGTTATTCTGTGCTAAGGAATTGTGAATCCAAGAGGTGTTGGAATTTCACCTTTGCTTTGTTGGGGAAGTGGAATGTTTCCCTCATGCAAGGGCTGGAAGTGTCCAGAGCTGTAGAATCTCCTGGGATCTGGGGGGGTTTCCAGTCACTGCTGGTTGCAGCAGGTTGGAAGGTCCAGTCCAGGGACTGCGGGTGTCAGCAAAGTGCGGGAGACTCTGGATTTGGGATGTTTGGGGAAGTGGGGGGGTAACCACACCCGCTGACTGGGTTGGGTTTAGTGGGGCAAAGTGGGAATTGGTGCCATGGTCTGTCCCTATCCATGGCAGAGAGGTGGACCTGGGTCATCCTTGAGCTCCCTCCCCATCCATTCTGGAATTCCAAGAGCAGTTACTCATTGGAAGTACAGCTTTGGAGCAGCCTGGGCACTGCAGGGCATGGCTGGAGCACTCCGGGAGTGGGGTATGGAATTGCCTGGGAAAAAAGGGGGTTGGAAAAGGAGCAGAGCTGGGATTTGGAATGGGGATGGATCAGTTGGGAGAGTTTGGAGCATAGCCAAAGTGTGATGATCCCTGGAAGCACAGGAAGGGGACAAGTGGAAGGTGGGACAGGGATGAGGGAACGGAGAGAGGGACAGGGATGAGGGAGCGAGGGGAGGAACAGGACTGATCCCACAGCCAGGAAACCACCAGTGCCTTTGGACAGGTTGCGGAGATAGGATCCCAGATTTGGCAAAAGCAGGGAAAATTCCTGGCTGTGCGTCATGTGCTGGGCCAGAAAAGCAGGAGAGGGCTAAGCTGTGCTGCAGGAGTCCCTGTGGAGCAGGCTGGAGCACTTCCAGCGGGGATGGTGTGGGATGGCTGTGCTGGAGGAGGTGGCTGGAGCACCCGGTGCCATCTCGTGACTTTCCAGCACTCCTGTTTCTATTTTTCCAAAGGGTTTGTGAGGCTCTAAAAATAGGAGCACAAACAAAACATGGGCAGGGAACAGCAGCTCCTGGATCTTCCCCCACCTTGGATTTGGAGTGCAAAGATGTGGAGCTGGCAGGATGCTCCTAGTGGCCCAGGGAGAGAGATCCTAGGAACTGATATTCCCAGCTGGAAGTACTACTGGGAGCCGGGCGATATTCCTCAGATGCTTCCACTGACTCCTAATGGATATTTTGGCTTCCTGAGCTAAGTGAGGGGAGGAATTGTTGGTCCACAGGAGCCTGGCAGCATGTGTGTCCGTCGAAAAACATGGCAGTAGGGTTTCTGAGGCTGGAATAACCTACCCAAAATCCCACTAGCCCAGGTTGCTCCAAGCCCTGTCCCACCTGGCCCTGAGCTTTTCCAGGGATGGGTCTATTGGAATTTGGGGCTGTGTTTCTGTACAGGGGCTCAGGAAAAACAACCATGGAATCCTGGAGTGGTTTGACTTGGCCCTAACAGGATTCCAGGTAATCCCATGAACTGGAGCTGGATGAGTTACCAGCTTCGCCTCATCATTCCCACTCTGCAAATTCCTTCCTTTCCTGGCTCTTCCTGAGAGAGAGGTGCTGGAATAAAACCCAGGGTAACTTCTGGCTGCACCCCTACAGGTTGTGGCGCTCTCCAGAGGGGGATGAAGGGGCTCAGCATCCTTCTTTTCCATTCTTTTCCAGGAGGTGAGTGTCACGCCTACTGAACTTCCCAGGACCCGCCAGCCATGCCAGGGATTGTCGTGTTCCGCCGCCGCTGGTCCGTGGGCAGCGATGACCTGGTTCTGCCAGCCGTCTTCCTCTTCCTCCTGCACACCACCTGGTAAGTGAGAAGGGCACAGGGAGGCTTGGAATCCTCCCAGGGATTCTTTTGGCTGTTCTCGTCGTGGCTGGAAATTCTTCCCGTGCACCTGGAAGATTCTGCTGGGGCATTTCTGAGGGACACCAAGAGGTTCCAGCTCCTGGTTTTTTTAGCTGAACTCTGTCCCAAATTCTATCCTAGTCCCAGAGAGCCTAACCAGAGCTCCCTGTATCCTCCCATGCCCACAGGAATTTGGGACTGAGTTTCTGTCCGGGGGCTCAGGAATAACAATCATAGAATCCTGGAATGGGTTGGAAGGGACCTTAAACCTCATCCAGTTCCAACTCCAACACCTTCCACTAGCCCAGGTTGCTCCAAGGCCCATCCCACCTGACCTCGGACACTTCCAGGGATGGGTCTGTTGGAACTTAGGGTTGGGTTTCTGTACAGGGGTTCTGGAAAAACAATCATGGAATCCAGGAGTGCTTTGGGTTGGAAGGGACCAGTTCCAAGTATGCCGTGGGCAGGGATACCTTCCACTATCCCAGGTTGCTCCAACCCGGCCTTGGACGTTTCCAGGGGTGGGGCAGCCATAGCTTCTCTGGGCAAGAATGGGAGTGGCAAATGACGGGAGGCAGATCCTATTGCTGTGCTGGGGGAACAGAGCTCCCGGCTGGCCTCTGGGAATTGGGGGGAACCAACAGAACTCTGAGCCCTTGTGGGGCCCCGAGCAGCTTTGTGGCATTCCCAGCGCTTTTTCCCTGGCAGGTTTGTGATCCTGTCCGTGGTACTCTTCGGGCTGGTGTACAACCCCAATGAGACCTGCTCCCTGAACTTGGTGGACCACGGCCGGGGCTACCTGGGCATCCTGCTGAGCTGCATGATCGCCGAGCTGGCCATCATCTGGCTCAGCATGCGTGGCAGCATCCTGTACACCGAGCCACGCGACTCCATGCAGTACGTGCTCTACGTCCGCCTGGGTGAGCCCCCTGCCCACATCCCACCCTTCTCTGGGCCCCCCGGAATGCCCTCCCTGTCCCAGAACTCCAGAGGCTGCTCCCTGGCACTGCCACTGGGGACTGCTCCCGATATTCCCCCACCTTGCTGTGGGCCACGCCAGCAACGCGCTTTCTTGCCCCTCCTCATCGGTGTCTTTGGAGGGGGTTTTGGGGGTCACAAACACTCACAAAATTCCTCCACCCAAAAGTCATCAAATCCCCCCAGAAAAGCCAAATCAAGCACTTCTCCCCTTGCCCCTGCAAATTGGCATCTCTGTGACCCCAAACACCTGCAAAATTCCTTCCCAAAATACTTCCCCAAAAATCCGTATTCTCCTGAAAGACACAAAAATCCCCCCCAAAGCCCAAAGAAAGCTCATTTTCAACCCCAAATGGGCATCTCTGTGGACTCCCAAATTCCCCCAAAGTGTTGGGAGACCCCCAAAACCCTCCCAAAGTGCCCCGAATTCCCCAAAATGTCCCAAACTCCCCCAAATCCCTAAAAGGCTCCAAAACACCCAAATGCCCCCAAAACCCAAGCCCTCCAAAGTGCTCCAAATTCCACAAAACCCCTAAATTCCCCCCCAACCCCCTAAACCCTCCAAATTTCCCTCAATCCCAGTCCCATATTTCTCTCCCTAAAATTGCATGTTTTCCTCCCTAAAAACGAGCATTCCTCTCCCTGAAAACATTCCCTGTCTCCCTCATCCAAGAACTAGAGCAGGAAGAGATCATTCCTTCATTCCTCATCCAGGACTCGTTTTCCCTGTGTTCTCTCACCTCCCAGCCACAGGAATTTAATCAGATTTTGCTATGCTCAGGGAAGGTTTTAAGGGAAAAACCTTCTGGAAATGCAGATCCAAACAAAGCATCTCGTGGCTTTGCATCCCTGCTTTTTGCTGGGTTGTTTTCCTGCAGAATCCACTAAAAACCAGGGATAACCTGGCTTGGAAACTCTGTCTGGGAGAGGTTTTTTACCTCTCTGCGGATGGTTAATGTGAACAGCGAACAAACATCCCTCCTTCCAGCCTTCCCTTGGGAAGCAGGGGCAAGGGAGGTGGGGAAAATCCAAGGAGATGTTTTTCCTGCCCCAGGGAATGTCCCCTGTTCTTCCTTAAACTCCCAGTGTGTTCCGGGCCGGGATTTGCGCCGGACTGTGTTTGTGTCCCTGTTTCCCGGAGCTTTTGACTCCTGGTGCTTCATCAGCGCTGCCGATGGAAGTGGGAATGTGACCGGTGCGTGGGCAAGGTCTATGTGACTGTCCCAGTTTAAGCCTGTGCCAGTTAATGCGGAGGAATTTAGGGAATGAACTCCCATGGGAACCTGGGAATGTCTGCTCCCTGCTCCTGTCCTGCAGCAAGTGTTGTCAGAGGGGAGACAAGCCAAGCTTAGCAAAACCTGACTCAGTTTAAGGCGCAAACTGAGATGAGCAGGAACCGGTTCCAACCTCGGGTCCCTGCCCAGGAAAACTCTTGGAACTGGTTTTTCCAGGTCTGTGGTAAAACCACTTATGGAAAGATCCTTATGGATGAGGAGAGTGGGTGGTATTAGGCCGGGCTGGATTTAGTCTCGACTCCATCCCAAGCCATTCCCAAGCAAGTTATTTATCTGCTCCATGCTTGATTGCCCACTTGTTCTTTGGTATTCTGGGAAGTGGGAGGACAGGCACTTGGGAGCAGTTTCCCAACTTTTTTATTCCAGGAGAACTACTGTTAATCCCCAGTCTCATGTTCCTTGTCACAGTAAAACCGAGGAGCCAGTAAGTGATTCCTGAAGGAATGTGTCCTGGGAACTGTTCCTGGAAGGGTGCAGAGTCACTGGGAATGTTTCCTAAGCATAGAAATCCTGACCACACAGAATTTCTTTGGGATCTGGGAACCAGGCCAGCTGTCTGAGGTGGTTCAGTCCTGGATCCTGCAATTCCTGGTGCCTCAGGGAACCTTTCCAGCAGCGTGGGTGGAATGTGGATCTGTGATTCACACCCTGACACAACCAAGGGCACTGACCTCTCTGTGATCCCCCCTTTTTTTTTTTTTTTTTTTTTTTTTATGGGGAACTGTGATGGTTTTGATCTAGGCCTTCCTGGTGACCAGTTTGTAACCAAGGAAGTGACCAAGTACCCAGTATTCCTTACGATTTTTACGTAAACCAGGGTGTAAATAAGTTAGAGATTAGAGACCTCGCTCTCTTCTCTTCCGGCGAGGTTCGGGAACAGTGGATCCTTGCGTTGGTATTGCTTATCTAAGGGTGAGGCCTGCAGCATCCACTGTCCTGCCACGTGGAGGTTTCGGGGAGTGCTGGCCGTGTCTACCAATCCTACTTTTCTAAGGGACGTGGTGAGATCTGTTTTGCTAGTTATTATTATAATTCTTGAGTTTGATAGCGTATACCTGTTTGATGTCCCTTTTTGTCCCTTTTTTCCCCTTTCTCTATCCCTTCAGGGGGTGGATTCCCTTTTACTGTGTATATAGCATCTTAACTGTATATAACTGTAATTTACGTAAAAATATATATTTTTATATAAGCAACTTGGCTTTAGGTTCTTTAATTTTTATAGGGTTTTTTTTGCCTTTCTTTGCCCTAAGGGAAGAAGGAAGGGGGAAGAGGGGGCTGCTACTGGAGGTTTGGACATTTGGCAGGAGGCTGAGGTCCAAACTATCACAGGAGCAGTCACATTTTTGCTTTAATATCCCTTTCCAAAGCGTTTTCCTTCCAGGCCAAGTAACTTGTCCCCATGTTTCCTTGCTGGAAACAGGGGCAGGAGTCAATCCTTAGGGAAACACTGCTGTTATCCACGGTATTCCCTCTTTTCCCAGCTATCCTGGTGATTGAGTTCGTCTATGCCATCGTGGGAATCGTGTGGCTGACCCAGTACTACACCTCCTGCAATGACATCATGGCCAAGAGCGTCACTCTGGGTACGGATTGGGAATGTCAGGCTGCATTCCGGCAGATCCATGCCCGCCATTCCCTCCCGCTGGCTTGGGCTGGACTCCTGGAAGTGGATTGGAGCTGTCAATGCGCTCCTTGTTTCCCCATTCCATTTGTTTGTGCCACCAGCGCTGAGACAGGGGTTCGTGTTCCCGGGGAAAGGATGGGCAGGGGGGAGCCTGGAAATCCCGCTTTTCCACTTAAAAATGGCTTCACTGTTCCCCTGGAACTCTTTTCCCACCTCTTGGTGGAAACGTGTTCATGGTGTAGCCCTGGGTGTTCCGGGGGTGTTCAATAACCCCACAAACAGCTGGGAAAACTCCACCAGCCGTGCTTTGGAAGCTGTTCTGGAGGGTGGGTCTGGGATGGGGCCAGAGCGCATGATTCCATGATTTTTTTTTTATTTTTTTTTTTTTTTTTTTAGGAATGGTGGTGTGTAACTGGGTGGTGATCCTGAGCGTGTGCATCACCGTGCTCTGTGTCTTTGACCCCACGGGCAGGACCTTCGTCAAACTGCGGGCCACGAAGCGCCGGCAGCGCAACCTGCGCACCTACAACCTGAGGTGAGGTGGCATTCCAGGGGATCCAGGAGCTTTGCTTGGCTGGGATGGGGCATTTCGGTTCTGCTCCTTGGCTTGCACAGAGCAAACCTGCTACCAAATCCCAGAGGATCTGCCTTAGAAACTGGGGGATCACGGGGCTTTCCAGGGAAGGAAAGGGTGGGGGGGAGGGAATAGACTCCTGGTTCACAAGGATTGGATGGATGTGGGAATGATTATGTGCTTTACACTCCCCTTTCCATGCCTGGAATGGTTTTAAGATGATTCCTTCAACAAATCATCCAAATGTGGGAATTTAAGGGTGGGAGGAAACAATGCGAAATTGATGCAGGGAGAGATCGTGGAATCATCATGGAATGCTGGAATGGTTTGGATTGGAAAGGACCTTATGGAACATCTCATTCCATCCCCTGCCATGGGCTGGGACGTTTTCCACTAGTCCAGGTCGCTCCAAACCCTGTCCTGGAACACTTCCAGGGATGGGGCAGCCACAGCTTCCCTGGGAAATCCATTCCACGGCCTCTCCACCCTCACAGAGAATTCCTTCCCAATATCCCATCTATCCCAGCCCTCTGGCAGTAGGAAGCTGTTCCCCCTTGTCCAGTTACTTCAGGTCCTTTTCCAGACTCCTTTTCCAGCTCTCTTAGAGTCCCTTTAGGCCCTGGAAGAGAGGCTCTAAGGTTTACCTTGAGCCTTCCCTTCTCCAGGCTGAGCAAATCCTCATTTGCTCATCCTGGAGCAGTGTTTTCCTTGGATTCATTAAGGCCTACAGCTGGATTCCACTTCCTGGAGCTGTTCAAGCCCTACAGCTGGATTCCACTTCCTGGAGTGTGTCCAGGGAAGGGAGCGGGATCTGGGGAAGGAGTTGGAGCAGCTGAGGGAGCTGGGGAGGCTCAGTCTGGGGAACAGGCGACTCAGGGGGGACCTTCCCATTCCATACAACTCCTTGACGGGGGGAGGGTCGGGAACAAGAGGAGAGGAAATGACATCAAGCGGCACCGGGGGATGTTTAGGTTGGATTTAGGGAAAATTCCTTCCTGGAAGGGGTTGGAACAGGCTGCCCAGGTCAGAGGTGGAGTCACCATCCCTGGAGGGATTTAGGATCCCTGTGGATGTGGCACCTGGGGATGTGGATCAGTGCTGGGAGAACAGTTGGACTTTGTGATCCTAGAGGTCTTTTCCAACTTTAATTCCATGATTCTGTGGTTATTGATCTTCCTGTTATTCCCAGACACCGGCTGGAGGAAGGCCAGGCCAGCAGCTGGACAAGGAGGCTCAAAGTGTTCCTTTGCTGCACGAGGACAAAGGACTCGCAGTCGGTGGGTACCAAAAATTCCCTGTAGGAGCCAGAAAATTGGGATATCACTGGGAGAAATCCATGGGTTTACAAGTTTTAGGATCAAATCTTGGCAGCAGTTCCTGGTCAGCTCCAGTTTCTCTTCCCAGCCAGTTTGCTGAGGCAGTTTATCCTGTTTTTTTGGATCAGCCCTGTGTCCTTAATGAGGAGGATTTGGGAATGGGAAAATACAAACCTGGAAAAATCAGCAAAATAATCTGGATTTATTAATAGCCAAAAACTACTTAATCCACAGATCCACAGGGATAGATTACTGGGAATTTTCATGTTCTGCAGTTGGGAATTTCCCTTGCAGGGAAGGGGAAAGGGCTTGATCTTCCTTCCCTAAAAGTTCTTGTTCCGTTCTTTTCGGAAGCAGTGGGAGCAGCTGCAAGGACTCAGCAGGATTCCTTAGGACCTGCTGGAGAGCTGAGTAAAACCTTGGTGCTGGGAAAAACGTGGAAAACTTCCCTGATAACTTGTTGTATTGAATTTAGTGGGAATGCCAGGTGTTTGAGGACCTGGCAGAACCAGGGAATTGTTCCCAAACACCATAATTCCGGATAAAAGCCATGAAACCCAAGGAAATCCTTCATGTCTCCCAAAGCAACAGTTGAAATCCCTGAGCTCTGAATGAGTTACAACCTCACAGGGAAAAAACTGGGAGTTCTCCAGGACATTCCAAGCAAACCAGCAGCCTCCCCAAATGTTTCGCTTCAGTTGGAAGGGCACGGAAAATGACAGGGAAAACACCCAGGGAGTGACCACAGCAGCCTGGCCTGGCTAAATATAGCCTGGAGCTCTGCTTCCAGAGGGATGAGCAGGAAAAGGAGCACACTGGGAAGGAACAGGAGTTTGGAGAGGAAGGGAAACGTGTCTGGAATTGAAATTCCACAGGGAAAGGTGGAAAAATGAAGGAGAGTTGGGTGAAGGCCACTGTTGTTATTCCTCCCAGCGGGCAACTGGGATGAACTGGATTAACAGGGTTTGTCAGGAATTATCCACAGGGCGCAGCTTCCAGAAGCTGCAGGAATTGGTGCAGGCCTGTGCAGGAATCCAGCACCCTCCCAGGATGCCTTTCCCTGGCTGGAATGCCACTGGGTTCCCAGGGAATGTCCCAGCCCCATCCTGCTGGGAAGTCCCAGCTCCTCTGCTCAAGAAATCCAGCAGGAACACCAAAACCTGGGATAAACCTTACAGGCACCCAAAGGTCCTGATTCCTGAACAACTCCCACTTGCTCAGGACTGTAAAGTATTCCAAGCTCTTTTTAACAAACTTTTCATTGTGCAGAGACTGATTCTCCCCTTTTTTGGTCCCTACAGGGACTGTTTCTCCCTGGTTTGTGGTTGTTTTTTTTTTTTTTTTTTTTAATTCAGGATAAAAGCAGATTCCAGATTCTTCACATTCCTCATGCTGTTGAATTCCCACTTTATATCCAGCTGGAGCCATTTGCAGCCTCTGGGATTTGGGAGGTCAGGATTTCAGGGATGCTGCAGCTGGAATGTTGGAGAGGTTAATATGAGGCTTTCCAAGGGCACCTCTGGCACAGTTGGCACCTGGATCCCCATCTCTTAATGGGGACTTCACTCCCTTGGAAAGAGTGGGAAGTGATTGGAAGTCCCACACTCCAGGAGTTTGGTGGGGATAAAGGGATGTAGGTCACTCCTGCAGGAGCAAGGATGTCATTCCTGCTGGGAAAAGAAGGAATTTACTGCCTTGATGGTCAGAGAAAAGAGAGGAGAAATCCTGTCCTGGAAAGCACTTGGGATTTCCACAGCTGCAGGTTTGAGGAGCTGTGTAAAGGATACTCTGAAAATCTGGGATAAAAATTCAGGATAAGGCTCTGATAATCCTTGGAAGGAAAGGTTTGGCATGGCAGGAGTCAAAATACTGTTGGTTTGCTACAACTCCCCATTCCAGCCTCTGGATCACCCTTTTCCTTAGGCTGGAATAATGACACATCAGCTCTGACTCACATTCCAGCCTATCTCTTGCTTCCCAAAATGTTCTCCCTCGGGCTTTTGTGGTTTTTTCCCCTGTAGTACAGAGAAAAAGGTGGAAAAAGAACGTTTCTCCTCAATATTTTGGTCCCACTGCTCCAGAGCCTTTGCTTGACCCTTTCAGGTCACTTCCACTTCTGTCCCTCCTTTTGTGGGATTGATCACCTTCTCCCCTGGGAATTCTGCATTTAGTGACTCAGGTCTTTTTCCAGGTTTTCCCTTTCAGGCCTTTTTGCTTGGGTACCATCCTAAATAAAGCTGGAAAAGCCTGGCAATAGGGGTCAAAGGATCCCAGGGCCGGGTTAAACTTCAACCGGAGGGTCTGGGTTAAATGTCGGGAAAAAAGGATCCCAGATGGGAGTTAAATTTGGGAAAAGGACCCCAGATCTGGGTTAAACATGGGCCAAAGGACTTCTGGGCCTGGATTAAATATGGGCAAGTTAAATTTAGGCAAAAGGATCCCACGTCTGGGTTACATTTGGGAAAAGGCTCCCAGGTTTGGGTTAAATATGAGAAAAGTATCCCGGGACAAACTTAGAATTGAAGAGCCTGTAAACAGGACAAAATCACTCCTTTTTTTCCCCCTGGAATAGCTTTGATTGTGTTTTCGAGGATAAGGATGAGTCCAAGGTGACTCTGGATTGGGATTTACTTGCTTTTCATTGTATTTTCCCTGTTTTATTTAATGCATAGATCCCAAAACATTCCCTTTCCCTCCCTTTGAGCCTGCCCGGGATGTGTGGATGTTCTTCCCACAGGACAAATCCATCCTCCAACTGGGAATATGGAAAGTAAACAGGAACCAATAATTCCACAATTAGTCCAGGTCTGGCATTCCCTGAAGGAATCTTGTGCATCTCCAGCAATGAGGCCAATCCCAAAGCACCTCTCTCCCTGGCTTTTTCAGGATGCCTATTCTGAGATCGCCTACCTTTTTGCGGAGTTTTTCCGGGATCTGGACATCGTGCCCTCCGATATCATTGCCGGGCTGGTGCTCCTGAGGCAGCGGCAGCGGGCCAAGCGCAACGCCGTCCTGGATGAGGTGGGGAATGGGAACACCTGGGAATGTGGCCTGCCCTGGGAGCACCATGGGACTCTGCCTGCCTCGCTCAGCTGGGAATTAAAAATAGTAGCCAATTTAAGCAGCTTTTCCCAAGTTTTTCCCAGCTGATGCCGAGTTGAGTTTGGGGTTTGTTGTCCACAAATACAGGTCGAGCTCTCGATCCCAAAAAAAACCTCGAAGTGGGTTGTAGGGAAGATTATTCCCTGTGATGTGGAGGAGACTCCAGCAAGCTTCAGGAGGGAAAATTCCTAAATTTCCAAACCATTATTCACATTTTTAAATTGTCAACCCAGGAGAAAATTGATTTGTTTGTTTTTTTTTTTTTTTTTCTCCCTTGACTTGGAATTTGGGAATAAAACCATTGGAAGCATTTGAGGAACCTGGTTGAGTAGACTTTTGTAAGAAATTTCCTGTGTGTTTGGGATTTACAGGCAAACAATGACATTCTGGCTTTCCTGTCTGGAATGCCAGTGACCAGGAACACCAAGTACCTGGACCTGAAGAACGCGGTAAGCCCCTGGAATGTGTAATCCTGGGAACTCTCCTGTGTAACCTGCTTTCCCTTCCTCAGTGGCTTCTCTTATTCCTTTCTGCCCCTCTTGGAAAAAATCTGAGAAATTCCAGGTCTTGGATTTTTCTCTGAATTTTCTCTTCCCACCTCATCTTTCCCCCTGATTTTTTCCTCTGATTTTTCTGATTTTTTTTTTCTCTGATTTCCTCTCAGACTTTTTTTCCCCCCTGATTTTTCCCCCCCTTATTCCCCATCTCATACCAACACTATTTAACTCCTACTCCAACTGTCCAGGATAACTGACCTTTTCCAGGACACAACTGAGACACACGGCCCTAAACTGTCTTTATCCCTCTCTGGGCATCCTATGACCTGTTGGCAGCAGGATATTTAGGGAGCTCATTCCCAAACCTGCAGGGAGCTGTTTCCTTGGCAGTAGGGTGGGATACAGAGGGAAATCCCTCAGGAGAAGAGGCGAATCCTGCCCAAATCACCACCTCGCTCCCCTGGAGCGGAACTGGGGGAGGAGGGGGATGCTCAGCAAGGAGGTCTAACTGTGGAAACGGGAAATGAGGAGGAACATTCCAAGAGATTACCGGCTGTCCATGTCTTCCAGCAAGAAATGCAGCGGTACCGGGAGGTGTGTTACTACATGCTCTTCGCACTGGCTGCCTACGGATGGCCCATTTACCTGATGCGGAAGCCTACGTGTGGACTGTGTCGCCTGGCCAGATCCTGCTCGTGAGTGCCTGCTCTGCCCTCATCCCTCTGGCCCTCCTCTTTATCTCCCCAGACTAGGAAATCACCATTCCCCATATTTATGTCATCACTACTCTCCATCCCCACTCTGTTTCTTCTCTGCTGCTTCTCTGCTTTTCTCTTCTTATGCTTTCTTTTCCTGTCTCTCTGTGCCTCCTATTCCAAAGTCTTTTCAGATCTCTTCCATCTTGTAAACGAACCACCTCATCTTCTGTTCCATCCTCTCCAGTGCCAGTTGGAACAACCAGTGGAGAGGACCCACCTAGCACAAAACTGAGTCCTAGAGAACTTCTTGGAGCTCAAAAATCTGATTTCTCACCAATCAGGGAGTTAAAATTTGGATCCTGATTAAAACACTTCCAAGATTTGGGCTGTGCTCTCTCTCTCCCACTGATTGGATTTTCCAGCTCAGGATTCAAGTATTTGCCACAATTCTGTCCCCAGATTCAGCTGGGGGATGAGCTTTTGGCAACTTCTGGGCTCTTGCGAGGAATTTAATTCCTTGGGAATACTCTTATTTGTAAGAAGGAAAGAGGGAAAATCAATCTGTGTTTTTCTTCTTGTTCTGCGATGATTCTAGACCTGCTTTTTCGCTATAAATAAACCTGGAGCTCAGTAAATGCTCCATGTTCCTGTGTAGTATCCCTTGAGGAGCTGTCCCTTGGATTCCTTGGGAACTGGTTGTAGTGGAGCTCTCTCTGGTGCTTGGAAGGAAAACTACACCTGATCCCAGTGTCCTTCTAGAGGCTGGAATTTTGTGCCTCTTTGTGGTTTCACCCTTCACTTGGTGCTCACTCCAAGTTTTGGAGGCCAGCATGGCTCAGAGGGGAAATGTAAATCCAGCCTTTTTCCCTCACAGTTGTGCTTTCCCCCAGCAGATGTTGCTGCCTGTGTCCCTCCCGGCCCCGCTATGCTCCGGGCGTGACCATTGAGGAGGACAATTGCTGTGGGTGCAACGCCATCGCCATCCGGCGCCACTTCCTGGATGAGAACATGACCTCGGTGGACATTGTCTACACTTCCTGCCACGATGCTGTAAGGACAATCCATAACCCCCTTCCCATTCCAACCATGCCCTCTTCCTGATGGGATTTACCTGCCTTGCGCTGTGGCAGCACCAAGAAGGAGAACTGGCGTGTGGCTCTGTCAAAAAATTCCTTCACTTGGGCAGAAATAACCTCTTTTTCCCTGTGGATAATCCAGTCTCTCCTGATCTTTTCCAGGTTTATGAAACCCCTTTCTACGTGGCCGTGGACCACGACAAGAAGAAGGTGGTGATCAGCATCCGAGGAACGCTGTCTCCAAAAGTAAGTGGGATGACTGGCGGACACCCTGGTGGACGTTCCGGAGAGTTGGACGCATTCCTGACCCGGATTTGACTCACCTGAGCAAGAATGCCTTTCTTCCAGGATGCCCTGACAGATCTGACGGGGGATGCCGAACGCCTGCCGGTTGAGGGGCACCATGGAACATGGCTGGGACACAAGGTGAGGACAAGGAAAGGAGAGGAGCCAAAACCAGCCAAAAACTTGATTTTTACTTTAATTTCTTTCTTCTTGTTACCCGCCCCCCGTTGTCCCCGCCCCCGTTGTGTCCCCGCCCCCGTTGTCCCCGCCCCCGTTGTCCCCGCCCCCGTTGTCCCCGCCCCCGTTGTCCCCGCCCCGTTGTCCCCGCCCCCGTTGTCCCCGCCCCCGTTGTCCCCGCCCCCGTTGTCCCCCGCCCCCGTTGTCCCCGCCCCCGTTGTCCCCGCCCCCGTTGTCCCCGCCCCCGTTGTCCCCTGCCCCCGTTGTCCCCGCCCCCGTTGTCCCCCGCCCCCGTTGTCCCCGCCCCCGTTGTCCCCGCCCCCGTTGTCCCCGCCCCCGTTGTCCCCGCCCCCGTTGTCCCCGCCCCCGTTGTCCCCCGCCCCCGTTGTCCCCGCCCCCGTTGTCCCCGCCCCCGTTGTCCCCGCCCCCGTTGTCCCCGCCCCGTTGTCCCCGCCCCCGTTGTCCCCGCCCCCGTTGTCCCCCGTTGTCCCCCGTTGTCCCCCGTTGTCCCCCGTTGTCCCCCGTTGTCCCCGTTGTCCCCCGTTGTCCCCCCGTTGTCCCCCCCAGTTCCCCCGTTGTCCCCGTTGTCCCCCGTTGTCCCTCCCCGTTGTCCCCCTTGTCCCATTGTCCCCCCCGTTGTCGCATCCCGTTGTCCCCCCCTCACAATTTTTTTTCAGAGCCAAAACCAAACAAAAGCCCTTCAATTTTTTTTCATTACTTGATGTTTTTAATTCCATGCCCCCCAAAATGGTCTTAATCACTTTAAGGAGGATGTTCCAGAACTGCAGCAAAAGGGCTTTGAGGTGTTAAATAATCCCTAGGAACAGTTAGAATCACTGGGGGTGTTATTAAAAAACTCCATCCAGTTAGTGAAATCCAAACTGGAAAAGACATCCTGGAGACCTGGAATGAAATTCCTGGAGTCGCTCAAATGGCTTGGCCTTCCAATGACTTTCCCAGAATTTGCAATGGAACTCTGGGAATGTGTTTAGAAACAGGATTGTCCTCCAAGGATCCTGGCCAGACTGGCATCTGTGTAATTTGATGGATGCTCCGTGTCTGTGAGCAGCTCTGGGATGGCTAAATCCTTTTATTCCAGAGCTGCTGTCCTTTGTCCCTGTCTGGCAAAATAATGCCAAGTTTTTAAGATGCTCAGGAATTTGGCAGCTTCCCAGGATGCAGTGCCAGGTTGGGAAAGGAAAAATGGAGGTTGGAAGGAGCGGAGCAGTTGCTGGAAGTGCTGCTGGAGGAGAGGAGATGTTGTCCAAGGTGGGATATTGAGCCTGGAATTCCTTGGGAGCTCCTCCTTCCTTCAGAGTGTCTCCTGAATGCCAAACCTCTTCCCTGAGCTTTGATGCTCTGCTTTAGGAAGTGGAATCCTGGAATGGTTTGGGTGGGAAGGGACCTTAAAGATCACATTCCAGCCTCTGCCATGGACAGGGACACCTTCCCCTAGACCAGGTTTTTCCCTATAAAACAGCCCCTTCTGAGGGTGTTCCCCCAAATCTCATCTATCTCAGAGTACTTTCTTGCCTTTGGATGGCAAAACAATACAGGACATTCCTATTCCCTTTCCCCAAATCTCAGATCCGTTTGGTTATTTACATGTGATGTTCCAAAATTAAGCCCAACTTGTTTTATTCCCTTGAAATTGAATCTGTTGCCTGGAGGATCTGTGGAGGCACATCCCTGGAATTGTCCAAGGACAGGTGCGACGAGGCTTGGAGCATCTTAGTCTAGTGCAAGGTGTCCCTGCCCATGGAACTGGATGAGTTTAAGGTCCATTTCAACCCAAACCATCCCAGGATTCCATGAAATTTAGGAAATAGCATCCATTTTGATGGAACTTTGCAGTCTCATTCCATAATATTAAAATATCTGCCTCCATTAAAATCTAATTCCCAAAAATATGTCCCCAAGGCTGACTAACACCTGTGACATCACCAGGGTTTTGGGTCACGCTTCCTAAAAATAGAATCCCAAATTCATGTTGGGAATTTAGATCGGTAGCCTGTTCCTTTGTCCTGAGGGCTGTGAATGGAGACTCTTCTGGAAGCTTTGGACCTGCTGGGAATTGGGATACAGGCACCAATCACCTTTTTGGTGATCCCAGTGTCCCACATTCCCATTTCTGTGCTCATGGAGTCACCTCAGTGCTGCTCCTCCTCTCCGGCATCCAGAGGGGATTTGATGGGATTTGTGGTACTGAGGACTTGGAAAATTCCATGTTTTTTGAGTGGACAAATCCTTCTATATCCCAGAGATGGAGAGTGAATCCTCAGTACTATTCCCTTTGTATTTACGCTGTTACTTAATGGAAAACAGCCAAGGAGATGATTTTCCCTGTTTTTTTCCCAGTCCAGGGGGTGTGAATTATTTGAGGCCTGTAATTCCCAAATTAAGACTGATCATTTCTGTTCACCCTGGCTGGGCTTTTTTGGAGTTCAGGCTTGCTTTCCACTGAATAAAACTGTAGGAAAAGAATCACCTGGATTCCAGACCAAATTCCGGTTGCTTTTTTTATACCTATGTTTGGAATGGGATCAGCTCCATTTGAAATTAATACACAGAGGGACAAAACTCCTCAGCAGAGAAGAGGAATGTTGAGCCCCAGCCTATGATTTTTCCCATCTTCCAGCACTTTTTAACTTCTAGGAAATATAATCCTTTAATAATTTATGATTAACATCCTTTAGCAGCCAAATTCCCTTAATTCTGACAACTGGAAAAGGCAGGAATTAACTCTTCCTATACAGGGAGTGCTCCCACTTTTCCCTGTGGTGTTTGTATTATTTTCTCTATAAACTCAGGATAATTCACACTTTTATTCACAGATTTAAGTGGAAAAATCATTCACAGATTTAACTGTGAGAGGAAAATTTGGCCATTAAAACATGAATATTCAGAGCATCCAAGTTTATTTCCATGGTCTTCCACAAATCCCAGGATCTGAAGTACCAAACACACAACCCTGTTTAAGTTGGTTTTTGGGATGTTTTTCCCTCTAAATTCACCCTGACCCCAGGAATAAGCCCTTGGAATTTATGACTCATTACTCCTAAACACCGTGATCCAAAATTTCTCTTCTGGGATGTGGAGAGGACTCAGTTCTTCCTGCATCCCAACCGTGCCAAGGGACGCTCCGGAGCTTCTACGGCTTTTGGCTGCTGGATGTTGGGATCAGGGCTGCCACACATCCATTGACATCCTACTTTGCCTCCCCAATTCCCACAGGGAATGGTGCTCTCTGCTGAGTACATCAAGAAGAAGCTGGAGCAGGAAATGGTGCTTTCCCAAGCTTTCGGACGTGACTTGGTGAGTTCAAGTTTTCCTTCCAGACAGAGGATGAGAATTCCCTAAACACCCGTTTTTTAAGGGAATCTCCGTGTCCTGAATCCCTTGTATTAATTTCTCAACTTTCCCTTCAATTCCTGTCCCTCTGGATTGCCAACTCTCTCACAGAATCCTGGAATGTGGCATTGGAAGGGACTTTAAAACTCCTCTGATTCCACCCCCTTGCTATGGGAGGAGAACATTCCGTAAGATTAGGTTGCTCCTCAAGGCTTTTTTGTTTTGGAAACAGTAGCACTGCAGAGCTCCTGATTATTTCATTTTTCCTAAGGCAGAAAGTCCCACATGGGAATGCAGGACAGGGAATGTTAAAACCAGGCCAAGGGGAACTAAAATCCCATCTCTGTGGAGATTCTTTCCAGAGTGCTATCCCTGGGAGCACATTCCTGGTGGCAGGTGTGAAAAATTGAGGAACTGATTTTATTCCAAGCAAATTAAAATGAACAGAGGGTACTAACAAAAGTACTATTTCTGTATATTTACTAACTTATAGGCGTACCGTGGAGACTGTAAGGTGAAGAGTCCTATCTGGACCTCTTACCAGGGATCTTTTGCGGCCGGGAACAGGGAACAAATTATGAATAAAAATGTATTCCTCTGGACCATGTAGATACACAGAGAGACCCTCCATGCCTTGCAATGTGAGGATGATGCAAGACCCCCCTGTACGAGCCCAGGGGAGGTATATTACAACCAGCCAAAAGATAACACCCACTTCCAAAGCAGAGAAATTACCTTTTAAGGCAACAAGCGGACAGTAAAATGAATATTCAACAACTGATATCAAAGGGTACAAAAAGCGTGGTTTTCAAACAGGAGTGTGCTCTTTGTTTGATTCAAGGGTGCACCCAGTGCTGGAAATGGGTACCCAGCACTGCAATAAAAATCTCTTGCTATATTTCTTTGTCCTGCAGGTATTTTTGCTGTCTTCAAAATTCCAGAAAAAAAGTAACTTATAACAGCAGGGAGCTATCAGAGATCCCAAGGGAGGTGTTGGGAAGCAATTTACCTAGGTTGATAGGTTGAGAATAGCTGTGGAAGTTCTGCCTCGGGATGTTGGATGGATGGAGGGAGAGATGCTCCAGCATCCAGTGGCATCGCTGTCTGCCTAGAAAGGGAATATTGGGTGTGCTTCTGCTAATCAGGAGGAATTTTTCCTGGTTTTAGGTACATAAATGCCATCTCAGCTCCCACCAAAGATTCCTCTATCTCAGGATATTGTTTCTGGCAGTTGCCAGCAGCAGATATTCTAGGGAAAAGTATTTAGTGAGGTGTAGAAACACTTTCTCCATGGATCTGGATATTATCAGGAAGCTGTGAGATTTGAGGAAGGGCCAGAGGCTCCTGTCAAATCCCAAAGAATTCAAACAGCTGGTGTGCATTTCCTGCTTCTTCCCATTTTTTTCCTTCTAGGGAAGAAGCAGTAGGTCAAACACTGATAGAGATGTAGAATTCCAGAAGTGAGTGAATTCCAGCATCCAGGGCCTGGAGTGCCAGGACAAGGGGGAATGGCTGCCCACTGACAGAGGGCAGGGTCAAATGGGATATTGGGAAGAAATCCTTCCCTATGGGGGCAGTGAGGCCCTGGAATGGATTTCCCAGGGAAGCTGTGGCTGCCCCATGCCTGGAAGTGTCCAAGGCCAGGTTGGACAGGGCTTGAAGCAAGCTGGGATAGTGGAAGGTGTTGGGATTGGAACTAGATGACCTTTAAGGTCCCTTCCCACTCAGACCATTCCAGGATTCCATGATGATTCCATGATTGAGAACAAGGAGCTGTTCAGCTGGAATCTGGAGCTTTCACACATAAAAACCACTCAAACTGGGGAAAGGGAGAGATTTGGGGGATAAATTCCTGTTAATTTCCAGTGTGATGTCAATTTCTTGTTGGTTTTGGTTTCCAGGGCAGAGGGACAAAACACTATGGATTGATTGTGGTTGGCCATTCCCTGGGAGCTGGAACTGCTGCTATCCTGTCCTTCCTGCTGCGCCCCCAGTATCCCTCCCTGAAGTGCTTTGCCTATTCCCCCCCAGGTGGGCTACTCAGGTAGGTCTTGGGATTCAGGTGGGATTGGAGCTGGATCACATCCCGTCTGGGATCCTCTAAGGAACAGGAAAAGGGACAGGCAGCCTGGATTTGCCGAGTGTTGCCTCTGTGACAGAGTTTGGAATTCAGGGTAGGATGGCAGGTGGCCACTCTCCCAAATATTCCTGAGTTGTCTATGGCTCTAATTTTAACGGAAAATGCAAGCTGGATGCAATTTCCATACTCTTTCCCACCCTTGATCCAGTTGTTTGGATTCCTTTTCCAAAGAAATTTCACCTCACTTTGGGATGTGATTTCTCCCATTCCAAAATGGTGCCTAAAAAAGGTCTGAGGGATTGTGCTTTTTGCGTGCTGGTCTCCCTCCCAAGGGGGGAATCCAGGGAGAGACTAATGGGGAATTCCTCCCATTATGAATTGGAACAGACCTTCTGGTCACATTATTCCCAAACAAAACTATCCCGTGGGGCTGCTGGGAAGTGAGGGAAGGTCTTTCTAGTTGTCATGGGGATCCTTGAAATCAGCTTGGGATTCTCCGAAGCTCCTTGTGGCAGTTCCTGCATCATATTCCAGGAGCAACCAAGGGTTTTAAACCACTCTGCTGATGGATCTGGATGTTGGCATTCCTTGTTGTTGTAATTCCCGGTTTTCTGCAGCCACGGAGCTACAGAGGAGGAAGTTTCATGGGAATTTTGGAGCTTTTTGTTCAGAAATTCCACATCTGGATACCTTGGGAACTCCTGACTTGTGTTGTGCCCAGGATCATCTCCAGGAAGCTCCATAGAGTGGGAATCTGAATTCCTTCCCTCTCGGTCCTCAGGTTGCTCCAGAAATTTGCCATCTGAGTTCTCCACAATATTCCATTCCAGTCTTTCATTCCATGGTGTCTTTGTCAAGTAGACTCAGGGGCCCAGAGTCTTGGTTGCCCTGCCATTCCCAAACCCTTGGGAAATGACTAGGAGGCGCTGAGTTCAAGTACTTCCTTTCCCAGGTGGATCCAGAGCCACGTGCAGGGAATGTTTGAGCCCTGAGATGTGGATATGAGGCTTTTCTTTCCCAAGGTGCAAATCCCGAAAGCCTGGAAGTAGCTTGGATTGGGGTTTTGTGCCCCTGGTTCTCTGCCACCGAACTGGGAATGAAACACTGTTTGCTTCTTCCTGGTCCTGTTTCTCTTCCAGTGAGGATGCCATGGAGTATTCCAAGGAGTTTGTGACTGCAGTGGTGCTTGGGAAGGATCTGGTGCCCAGGCAAGTGGAGAAGTGTCCCAAATCCTTAATGAACATTTGCTATCCTGTCCCCAAATCATCCATTTCCTGTCAGAAACATGTGGATCATCTGTCTCCAGATTCCTCATTTTCCTATCCTTGTCTTGTTCCTTATTTATCTTCCTCATTCCTTGTGGTGTTCCTCATTTATCCTCCTGCTTCCCTGTGTTTTCCCTGGGCACCTCTGTTGGTGTTTCACGCACCTTTTTATAGGCAAATCCTTCCTGTGGGCCAGAAAAATGGGAATATCCTGCCTCTGGAATCACTCAGTGTAGTCCCTGGAGTATCAGTGTCATCTTCCCAGTTTCTTGTGTTATCTTGGATATGTTGTCAGCTCCTGTTTGTCCCAAAATTCCTGTTGCATGCCATCTCATATCTCCGGACCAGCTCATTCTGTGGCATTTCTCCCCTTCCTCATCTCCTGGGATGTGTTCTGCTGAGCAGGTATTTTGGTCAGGACAGACAACCTGGGATTTACCTGGACGATGTGACCTTGTCCATCCTGGAATTCCCTCATTGGTGTCACTTGGCTCCGAGACACCTTCCCAAGTCACCTGTTCCGCGTCATCCTTCTCTGGCTTCTGGGATTCCACTGTCACCTCCCTGTTCCCTGAGCTGTCTCCAGTCTGTGTTCCCTGCTCCTGTTTGTTGTCCTGGTGATTCCCCCTCTGCCCTCATTCCTGCTCCTGGGTGGTGCCACAAGCCACCTGGGAAACCTGCACTGGATTTCCCCCCCTCCAAATTCCAGTCCCAGTTCACTCTGGGTTTTTCCATTCCAGATTCCAGCCCGAATCTGCTCTGCATTCCCCGCATTCCAGATCCCAGGCTCAATCCATGCCAGGTTTTCCCATTCCAGGTTCTTACCCCAGTCTGATTCCCCCCCCATTCTGGATCCTGGCCCCGATCTGGTCTGGATTCTTCCTGTTCCACATCTGGAGCCCAATCCAGTCTGGGCTTCCCCCCATTCCAGATCCTGGTCTGAATCCAGTCTGGGTTTTCCCTCATTCCCAGTTCTGACTGTGATCTAGTCCAGGTTTTCCTTCATTCCAGATTCTGGCCCTAGTCTGGCCCAGCTTTTCCCTCATTCTGGATTCTGGGCCCGATCCAGTGTGGGTTTTCCCCCATTCCCAATTCCAGCACTAATCCAGTCTGGGTTGTCCCCCATTCCAGATCCCAGCCCTGATCCAGTATTCTTGTAGTATCCTTTTGGATGGGATTCCTTGTTCTGTGCCCGTGTGTCTTTCCCATCCCATTCCCTGCCCAGGTGTTCCAAACATGTCTTCCTCTTTTCCATGACCCCATCCTCCTGTTTTCCACACTCACACTTTCCTCTCTTCCAGGATTGGGCTCTCCCAGCTGGAGGGATTTCGCCGGCAGCTCTTGGATGTTCTCCAAAGAAGCACCAAACCAAAGGTAAGAGGGAAGAGGGACAAACATCTGGAAGTGTCTCTGAGCAAGGACAGGGAATTTGACTGTCAGGAAGGGCAGGTTTCCTCCTTTGGAAAGGGATCACTCTTTAGGGAACTACAGGAACGATGGGAAGAGAGCAAGCAGAGCTCAGTGGGATGATTCCAACTCAGGTATTCCAAGTTCACCATCACAGATCCCAAATAACCCAGCAGAGAATTTTCTGTCCGAACCTGTTTTGGTGTCTGTGTTCCCAGTGTGGATTTTTTCAGCCAGGAAAAAACTGGGAACAGACTGGAATTGTCTGTTTATAGGCATGGCTGGGTGATGCTGGGATAAGGAGTTTGGTCATGTTTTGGACATGGGAAATGTGGGAATTGTCCCTTCCCAGTCTCCCCCATTACACCAAGATAGAAAAAAACCATAAAACATGAAGATTTTTAGGGATGAAACATCACAGGAATTACCTGGAAAGGGAGGAACTGAGCTTGTATTTATTTCTGTTGTTAAATTCTGATTTTTGTGGTTTGACTTCAGGTTCTTGGGAAATTCTTCATGCTTTTTTGAGGGTTTTTTGGTGGATTTGGGGGGATTTTTTTTTCCTGGTTTATTTTTAGGGTGTTTTTTGTGATTTTTAGATGGTTTTGGGTGTGGTTTTTTTTTTTTTTTTAATTTTTTTTGTGTTTCCTTGGGGGTTTTGTTTGGGTGGGTTCTTAAATTTTTGGTGGGTTTTTCTGGTGCTTTTTAGGACTTTTTTTTGTTTTTTTTTTTAAGGTGGGTTTTTTAGTGGTTTTCTATGAGATTTTTGCAATTTTTGTTGTGTTTTTTTAGGGCTTTTGGTGGAGTTTTGTGGTTTTTGAGGGTTCTTTTGGTGGCTTCTGGGGAGAGGTTGGGGTGTTTTTTAAGTTTTTCTGGGGGGGTTTAGGGCTTTTTGGTGAGTTTCTAAGTTTTTTAGGGGGGTTTTGGTAATTTTTTTAGGAAAGTTTTGTGGATTTTAGGTGTTTCTGTGTGAGTGTGGTTTTTTTTGTTGGAGGGTTGGTGGCTTCTTAGGTTTTTTTTGGTGGGTTTGAGAAGTTTTTAGGACTTAAAATCCCAAACAGCTTTTTTTATCAGCATTGTTTAATCTCATCCTTGTTTTTGTCCATTAAAAATTGCTTCCATCCATTCCTTTATCCTGGAAAATACCAATTTATCCCTTGATGGACATCAATCCCATAGATCCTTAACTACCTAAGGAAAAAACAAGGAGAGATGGGAAGTTGGCTTAAAAGTGGAAAAGGAAAAGCAACCTTGCAGGAACACCTGGATCATTTCTATTTTCAGCTTCCTCATTTCCCTGGCCTTGAGTTATTCCTTATTTATCCTCCTGCTTCCCTGAGTTTTCCTGGGGCACCTCTACTGGTGTCTCGCACTCCTTTTTAGAGGCAATTTCCTCCCACATGACAGAAAAGGGGGAATATCCCACCAAAGGGGGAATAAGAGCACAGGGCTATCCCTGGCTCTTATTTACAGAACCAGTGCCCCAAAGGTGGGATTTTTGCTGTTGAAACCCCCCGAGTTCTGTGAGGTGACGGTGCCTCTCCGTGCTTTTCCCTCCTTCAGTGGCGGATCATCGTGGGGGCCACCAAGTGCATCCCCAAATCAGAGCTTCCCGAGGAGACGGAGGAGAGCTCGGTGCCGAGCAACCGGCTGTGGGCGCACCCCAGCGACCTGACCATCGCCCTGTCTGCCAGCACCCCCCTGTACCCACCAGGCCGCATCATCCATGTGGTACACAACCACCCTGCCGAGCAGTGCTGGTGAGCCGGGGACAACCCGGGGGGAAACTCCCTCTTGGGAATGGCATAGGATGGGTTAGGTTGGAATGGGACCTCTAAAGATCAGTGGGCAGGGACACCTGCCGCTGCTCCAGGGTGCTCCGAGCTGGCCCAGAGCACTTCCAGGGATGGGGCAGCCCCAGCTTCCCTGGGAAATCTATTCCAGGGCCTCTGCACCCTCCCAGGGAAGAATTTCTCCCCAGTGTCCCATGTAAACTGGCGCATAGAATCCTGGAATGGTTTGGGATGGAAGGGACTTAAGGATAATCCAATTACACCCCCTGCCCTGGCAGGGACGCCTTCCACTGGTCCAGGTTGCTCCAAGCTGGCCCAGAGCACTTCCAGAGATGGGGCAGCCACGGCTTCCCTGGGAAATCCATTGCAGGGCCTCCCCTCCCTTCTAGGGAAGGATCTCTTCCCAGTGTCCTATCCAAACCCACCTTCTGGCAGTGGGAAGGTGTTCCCCCTTGTCCTGTCTCTCTGAGCCCTTCTCCAAATTCTCTCTCCAGCTCTCTGGGAGCCTCATCAGGCACTGGAATGTCATTCCCTGCTGGATAATGCAGAGTTTGGAGCAACATCTCCTCCCTCTGTTTTTTCCTGCTGTTGCTTTTTCTCTCTCTCCAACCAAAACATTTCTCTGCTGTTTCATCCCGTTTTCCCCTTTGTTTGGATCCCTTTTCCAGCTGCTGTGAACAGGAGGATCCCACGTATTTTGCCATCTGGGGGGACAACAAGGCCTTCAACGAGGTGATCATCTCCCCAGCCATGCTCCACGAACACCTTCCATATGTAGTCATGGAGGGGCTCAACAAGGTAAGGGAATTAGGATCCCAAACATCCTCGTGGGATGGGCACTCCTTGCCCCCCAGTGCTGGGGGTTTAAATGCACGAGGACACTTATCCTGGGAAAGGGGAGGAGAAGTGATGATGCTTCACGTCAGTCTCGTGCACTGGATGTCGGATTTGGATGCGGTGAGGTCTGGGAATGGAACTCCCAGAGTTCCCAACCCTGTTTCCAGACTTTGTGTTGGAATAATGGGAGGTTGGGTGGTGGTTGGTTCATTCCAGGAGGTGTCCATTGGATGAGTCCAGGTGACATCTGGGGATATGTCAGGGTTTATGCATCTAATCCTTTGTCTCCAGACCTTTCCTTGTGCTTCCAGGCGGCTTTGGGAAGAAAGAGACAAATCCAGCTCTCAGTAAATCCCTACTGTTTTTCTCCTTGCCTTGGACAGGTCTTGGAAAACTACAACAAGGGGAAAACCGCTTTGCTTTCCGCAGCCAAAGTGATGGTGAGTCCAACAGAAGTAGATCTCACTCCGGAGCTGATATTCCAGAACCAGCCCTTGCCCAGCGGCCCTTCCATTCAGGTCGGAACTGGAGCCATCCCAGCAGAGAGGAGGAACAGCAGCACCAAGTAAGGATGGATATTGGAAGGAATGTTGGCTCTAGGTATGGATCCTCTCCCTCCTGGGTTGTTGTGATCCGTGTTTACGGATAGATCTGAGGGATGCCTTTCTGGGACTCGTGTCAGGGGGGAAAAAATCCTTTGTGTTCCTCAGGAATCTGAGTGGAGCAAGGTCAGGAGAACACAGAAGGTATGGAAGAAGCTCCCTTTGCTCCTTATCCAGACAAATCTGGTTTTCCCAAGGTGAAACTTCCAGCCAAATTTGGTGATTTTTCCAAAGCACAACGTATACATTTAAAGCTGCTTTATGCTGGGATTTATGGAATATTATAAACAGAACCATGTTGGGAACATGGATACAGATGAGGGGAAAGCAGTTGGTGCTTTCCCCTTATCTGTATGAGGTATGGGAAGGATAAGAGCCAGAAATCCAGCGGAAAATAGGGAAGGGGAGGAGCTGTATTCCAAGTGCTGAAGGTGTTCCCACATTTGGACTGGCAGGGAAAATGAAGGAAGGGAGACAGTTTGCATCCAGAGGTAGCTGTGAGTGGAACCAGGAGATGGAATTGTGGATGGGAAAGGATAATTCCTTGGCAAGGGAAGCACTTCCATGGGGTTTTCAGGGAGAGAGACCCAACAAGGAGCTGTGGGGTGAGGGATATCTGGGTAAGTGGGAGATCATGGGAGGGAGATTTAAATTCAGAGGGAAGATAAGGCAGCAGATAACGTGGAAAAATGGGAATGTTCTTGTCACAGAGAGTGAATGGTCAGAGGCAGGGAAGGAGAGCTTGGAAGCAGAACATAGCTGATGGGATGCAGCAGGAACAGGGATTGTCCCAGGTTTTTGAGAGCTACAGTAAGACTGGGAAGATGCTGTTTAATTCCAGGTTAGAACCATCTTAATGTGTTGAATTTCCTCTTTTGGGATTCTTGGAATCTCTTCCCAGATCACTGTTACTCCATTGAAGCTACAGAGGGATAAGGCATTGCCTTACCTCTTAAAGCATTCCCTGTATATCCCATCCTTTGGGCAGGTGCAGGAGTTCTCTTCCCAAATAATACTTCCATAATTCCATGTACTTAAGGCTGTTGATTTGTCTGCAGCTGATCCCAAGCCTGGTGTGGGAGCTCCTTCCCTGTGTTTTTCTGGAAGAGGCTACCTGATCCTTGGTGTAGCTGGATTTTTCCTACCTGATTTAAAGTCTGGTCATGGAAAATACTCTGACAGCCTCTTGGAATTTGTGGTGGGATCACCAGTATGAAGAGGGAGGTGAAAGCTTGAGCATGGAACGGTTCCAGACTGGGAAAAGGAGAAAGTGGGTTAAGTGTAGGTTGGTCCTTCAGTCTCTCTTCCCTAAATCCTCTTTAATGCAGAGTTTTTGGATGCTTTGGAAGTGCTGCAGGTTTCTTTGGGAGCAGAGCCATGATCCCAAGTGACAATGGTACTGGAGAAGGAAGACACTGGGAGAATCATGGAATGGTTTGGGATGGAAGAGACCTTGAACACCATCTCATTCCAATCCCCTGCCATGGGCAGGGACTCCTTCCACTAGCCCAGGTTGCTCCAACCTGGAACACCAGCAGGGATGGGCATTCCACAGCCTCTCTGGGCGGGAGAGAAGGATTTATTTAGCCAGGAGGGCAGGGAGAAGGGCAAGAAGCGCTGTTTGCTGAGGGAAGAATCTGTGTGATGTTTTCCCCTGGGAGAACAGAGCAATAAGAGATTTCCAGAGGCTGTGGGTGGGTTTGGTTGGGGGAATTGTGTGAGGAGTTCTGTGCCCAGGACACTCTACTCCTCTGGCTGCCTTCTCACCTCCTGTTTTCCCACTGCAGGAGCAAATCCCACTCGGAGATCAGCCTGGAGGGCTTTTATGAGACGAAGCCCCTTTCCCCAGTGCAGAAGGACCCGGTGGAGCTGCTGCTCCTGGACACCAAGGAACGCCTTTCCGTGGAGCTGCAGGACCGCCGGGCTCCTCTGGCCACCATGGAGAGCCTCTCGGACAACGAATCCATCTACAGCTTTGACTCCCGGCGCTCCTCTGGCTTCCGCAGCATCCGGGGCTCTCCCAGCCTCCACGCCGTCATGGAGAAGGACGAGACACACTGCTTTTATATCGATCCCATCATCCCCGAGGAGAACCCTTCCCTCAGCTCCCGGACCGAGCTGCTGGCTGCCGACAGCCTCTCCAAGCATTCCCAGGAGACTCAGCCCCCAGAGAACGTCCTCAACAGCGGGGGAAGCACCCCCCAGCGGCGCTGCAGTGCCGAGGGCGCCGGGAGTGATGGGGAGCGTGGCTCCTCGTCCCCCCGGGAAGAGCCGGCGCTGCACAATGGCCGCCTGGCTGACGTCCCCAGCCCCCAGGTACTGGAATTCGCTGAGTTCATCGACAGCCTCTTCAACCTGGACAGCAAGAGCAGCTCCTTCCAGGACATCTACTGCATGATGGTGTCGGACAGCTCCAGTGACTTCGCAGAGCTTCCCAAATCTGTGAGCGACCAGGAGATCCTGCTGAGGGCGCAGTACGAGCCCAACTTGGTCCCGAAGCCGCCGAGGTTGTTCGCGGGATCGACAGATCCTTCGTCGGGCATCTCTGTGTCGCCCTCCTTCCCCCTCAGCTCGTCTGGAGAACTCATGGACATCACTCCCACGGGCGTGAGCAGCCAGGAATGCCTGGCCACGGACAAAATCCGGACTTCCACCCCCTCCGAACATGTAACCAGCCCTGCCAAGCAGGACGACCTCATGATTTCGGCCCTTTAGTGCTTGGGAAAAGGGGTGGAATGATCTGGGGGGATAATCCATGGAGGAGAGGAGCGGTCAGGATCAGAGGAGACGGCTGGAAACATCCCTTCCAGGGTGGCACAGCGGTGCCTGGAGGATGGATTGTGCTGGAATGCTGTGCTTGGCGCTTGGGAGAGGCTTTACCCTGTGGGGCCTAAGAGGGTCTGAGGCACTAAAATTCCCTACCTCAGCCTGGCTCTCATTCCAAAGGCAGATTCCTTGCCCCAGGGCACCTACTGCGTTTGGGGAGCGAGACCCCCTGCTCTGGGAATCCTGCGGGGTGGATTCCCTGAAACTCAAGGATGGAGAGTTGGGAGCAGGAGGGGGGCTGGGATGGATCCCCCCCTCCAGACCGGAGCCGCTGGTTTGGGGAATGAGCGGATTGAGACTTTGGGCCCAATTGCACTACCACAGATCCGGCTCAAGCTCCAATCTGGCCACTTCCATGGGGGTTGCTTTTGTAGGACACTCCAGTTTTAAAGCCATTGGGGCTGTATCCCCTCCAAATTCAGCCTCCCATTCCCGACTGGGCGCAGCAGGAACGGAGCTGGCACCGTGTTTCCTCTCCCCCGAGTGTTCCTGAGGGAAGGATGCTGTTCCCAAGAGCCAAATCCCTCTGCCACATCCAAGTTCTCTTGGATCTCACCACCATCACTCCTGGATTCTCCGGACCCCTCTGAGCTAACAACATTCCTGCGGGACTGCCAGGATTCTCATCTCAAAGCTGCGTGGAGGCATTGACTGGAAAACTGACCCAGCATTGTTTTCCGAGGCTCTGTGGAATCTGGGAGCCTTTCCTGGATCCCCTTGGGTCCTCACACCGCCCATATGCAGTAACCATGGATTGGTGGCAGCCTGTTGTTGGGAATTCAGGGAAAAGATGGACTTTTTTTTCCAAGTGTTGAAACCTTTTGTATGTTTACAGAGCTGCTGTTTGGAAGGTATTTATTAAGGAAACAGAGAGGTTTTCTCAAAGGAAAAGCCTGGCCATCCTCTCCTCCCCATGCCTTTCCCGCTGGGGACTGAGGGAAGAGAGGGTGGGCAGGCAGAATTCCAAGTTCCCTGCTTTCCAAGTGGCTGGGATGTGGGGGGAGCTGCCTGCATCCCTCTCTCTGCTCCCCTGCACAAGCGCATGGAGTAAAGCTGGAGGAAGTGGTGAGGAAAATCTTCCTGAACCTGCTCAGCCACTCCAGGCAGGTTTTCCAAGGATGGAAGCAGCAGGAAAACTACCTATTTAGGGAATGAAACCCTTTTGTGACCTGGAAAAGGCCCTTTGTTGGCAAATCAAAGCTCAGCACTTCCTGATGGGTCTCCCTGGAGTTCTATCCTCCCTCCCTGGAAAAGAAAGTCCCACTTTAACTTCCTTAGAATCCTTTTGTTGCTCCCTTTCCCCCTCCTTAGCTGGGATATTTCCATTGTGGGAGGATGCTCTGCTTCCCAGGAGCTGGCAAATCCCTGGGCTCCCTGTGGTGTCCAGAAGCCTTGGGATGGGCCTTCCTTTGGGAATAACTGACATACAACAGGAGCGCTTTATAAGCGATGTGCACTGGTGGAAGTAGCACCAGGTGCACAGAATTTCACTGGAATCTGTGTCCAAGTGCTGATATCCCCCTCACTTGATCATAGGATACGCATTCCCTGCTCCTTACCCATTCCAGAGCCTTCCAAAGTGCTTTCAGTGGGAAGTTAAAATGTTATCTCTGTGGTTTAAGGTTCCAAAGGGGACCTTTCCCTGTGTGGAACTGGAGCAGAGGAAGCCCTTCTGGATTCAGAGGGATGTGTAGAAGGAAAAACCCTTTTGTTCCAAGCAACCAGAAGTTCCTTTTGTTTTTGTAGGTCCTGTAAAAAGGAGCAGGTTCGGGAGCTCAGCACAACACAGGCCCAATTCTTGCCCTCAGGGAGCACTACCAAGGTGATTTTTCAGGAATACGCACAAAAATCTGGGAAGTTTGGAGGAGAAGAGGGGAGCTGAGGGGCAGAGGGAGGCAGGGCTAGCAGGCTAGCTCACTTCCCAGCCCAGGAATAAGGAGCTCATTCCCGCCCTTAATCCCGGCAGGAATTAACTCTTAGCACTAAGGCAGAGCTTTGGATCTGCAAAGCACTTTAAAACATTGAGGAAAGGGTCATCTCCATCCCTGGGAGCCACAGGGACCCCTGGGATCAGGCGGGATTCCTGGGGAGGAGGTGCCTCTGGCTGAGGCAGGTGGGATATTTCCCTCCTAAACGATTCCAGTTGGGATCTGCTGGTGTTTAATGGCTCAGATGTTGCACTAGAAAGTCACTTCCCACCTGTGTCCTGGAAAACTCCATCCTTGGCTGAGTGTTCCTTTCTCTGTGCCATTGGAACTGTATCCCATGGGAACAGGGTTCCCTTGCCCTGACTGGAAGCAGCCAGGAATGCTGCACTAAAAGCCTGGAAATCCCTAATTCCTGGGAGCTGGGCTTACCGTGGATCAAGGAGTAAAGGTGGAAAGGAATCCCTTGAAGGTTCAGACTGGACCGAATCGGAGACAATTCCTGGGCTTTGGTGTTCCCTCTTGACAAGCAGATCTAATCTCAGTGCTCCCAAACGAAATCCCTACTCTTGAAATCGGTTGGGCTTTAAATCTCTTTCTGTCTTGATCCCCATCCCTGGATCTTGATCCCCATCATTCCAAACCTCAATTCCCATCGCTCCTTTGCTCTGAGGGTATTTGGAAAGGCTAATCTCTTATTCCCTCCTGGAAAAACCCTTCTGGAATGCTGGAATAACTGCTAAACCAACAGCTACCTTCTGCATCTGTACTGGTCACGCTTCCTACTTTCTCTGCCCGCTCTTTCTTTGGAAATGTGAAGCTTCTCCAGATTTTTCTTGGCTTCTGCTTCCTCCCCTTAAGCTTTGTGCCTTCCAGTCTTCCCAGGATATTCCAACAGGATGGTCCACCCTGCGCTGAGGCAGCGCTGGAAGTGCCTGGCATCCCAAATCCTGGCCGGCCAGTTCTGTATCACAGCCTCAAAATCCGTTGGGATCCCTCTTCCCAGCGCTGGATGGCCTTTAAAGGCCCTTTCCTGCGCAAAGTATTCCAAGAGTTTCGTGGGAGGGGAACGGAGCGTCTGCATCCATAATAATGGATTTAATTGTGGCTTTGCCTGCATCAGTGCCAGGAATTTTGGGAAGGATGTGCTGTGACCGATTGACAAGCCCTCCTCCAGCATTTATCATTATTCCCTCTCCTTCTCCACTTGGAATATTGAATTCCTCCTAAAACTTCCACTTCCCTCTTTTCTTTGCTCCCTGTTCCTCTCACCTCATCCCTCCTCTTATCCCACATCCTTGATAGCTCCACTTGAACAGGGAAAACTCTTCCCGGCAATCTCAGGATGATCTGAAGCAGTTCAATGGAATTCCAGGAATTTTTGAAGACCTTTTTTCCCCCAAGGAAAACAGGATTTTTAGGAGATGTTTTGCTCTCTCTGGAGGACTGGGATGGCAAAGCTGGTGGTGAGTGTGGATGTATAAAATCCCGTGATTCCCATTTCCATTCTTTTGGGATATTGTTGCTTCAATTTCAGGAGTAGTTGATGGTCCCCAGAGGGATTTAGGTGGGAAATCTTTGTCCAAGGGCACATAAAGAGGGAAGATTCCAGGAGCAAGGATACAGGATCGGTATCTAATATAGTCCTTAAGCACTTGGATGTTTTCCCAACTTTTTTTTCCTCTTTTCCTGCAGGCAGATATAATATTTCCACAGAATCCCCTAGACTGGATTTACTAACTGGGACATAGGAATAACCGGGATTATCCCTGGAAATGGGAATTAAGTGGGAATAGTCGTTGCTGTGTTCAGGTTTGTATCCCAGAAGCTCCATAGGGTTGGATTTCCATGTTTGCCTTGGGAATTGCTGGGCTGGAGCTCTGCTGGTTGCTGGGTTTATCCATATCCAATCTGGAATATCATTCCCTTGGCAGTAGAACATTCCAGCTTTGCAGGATGGCAGGAACATTTCATTCCCATGTTTTTTTAGGGATGGGGGTTGTAACTGCATCCTTTGGGGAACGTGCAAACGTTCCCAGGGAGGTTGTGGACTCCCCATCCCTGGCATTGTTCCAGGCCAGCTTGGGTAGGACTCGGAGCAACCTGGAATAGTGGAAGATGTCCCTGCCCATGGGACTGGATGGGCTTTAAATCCCTTCCCACCCAAATCATTCTGGGATTCTGGAATTCCAGTGTTTCTGCTGCCTCTTTAGGCAGGAAAGGGAGTGTTGGAATTCCAGCAGTTGCTCTGATGACAGATATCTCTGGAGGCAGGAATTGGAAAGCTCTGGCTGGATCGGGCTCGTTGCACATTCCCAGAGCCTGTACAGGGCTGATTTTAGGGAAGAGCCACTGGATTTTGGGAAGAGCCACATTGCCTGTGCCAAAGCTCCTCCTCACAGTGCTGCTGCGATGCTCGGAGGAACCTGTGGGAGGCAAACATTCCCAGTCCTCGGGAATCCAGCTGGGATTCCTGTGGGAGTTCTTGCTTTCCACTGGGACCCGTAGTGGGGTTATGGATGGGAAGTGAGATGGATCAGGAGCCACTGATGTCCTTCCCCCTCTTCCAGCACCCAAGGAGCTGCTTAAGGGCTGGAAATTCCAGATATCCAAGGATTAGAGCAATTCCTTGCTTTGTCCCAGGGACTTGCAATCCTAAAAATCAGCAGCTGTCTCCAGTCCCATTGTTTTCCTCCTTGTTTATTGAATCCGTACTTCTTGTGCCTTTGTTTTCTGTGGCTTCTGGTCCTGGCCTCCTGCCTGGCACCAAATTTTTGGGATCAGACATCTCCTGCTTCCTTTCCCACTTCTCTGGGTCTATGGATTTGTGGCCGCAGAGCTGCCTTTGCTTCCAAGCCCTCCCATTCTCCCTCAGCTGGGAATTCCCACTTCTTCCTGCTTTTCCCTGCTGCCTCAGGTTGTATCCAAGTGCCAAAAGCAAATCCTGACCCGGGGCAGGTGGTTCTGTCACCCCTGGCTGGAACAACCACCTTCCAAGGGGAACCTGCCTGGGAATTTTCCCTGCTTTCCTTGCTGTGTCCTCACCATGTCCTGACATTCCCACCTTCCCAGACACCTGTGGGATGAAGGGAATCTCCACCTTGATTCCTGCAAACCCTTAAACATGGAGCAGCCCAGGAACAAGCCCCCGATGCTGGTTTTTGTTGGGATTCTGCTTCCCTGCTTTCCATCCTGGGATTTGTGCAGTTCCCATGGCTCAGACTCGGAGGTCCTGGAGCACCGGGAGGAGGTGGCTCAGCCCTGCCCTGATATCCTGGTTTTGGGAAGTTCAGGGATCACGTCAGGCTGTTTTTCCTTGGGCACAGCCACAGCTGTGGGGCTGAACTCCTTCCCTGGAATGTTCCCGGCGCTCGCTGGGATGAGTGGCCTCACCTGCAGCTCCAGCTTCCCACTTTTCCCTCCCCCAGTCAGCTGAGTGATGTCCAGGGAATACTCTCCAGCTCCTGTCCTAGTGATGACCAGAATTCCTAATGGCACAGGGATTTTTGGGATGGTCTGTGCCTCCCTTGCTGCGTCCACAGAGCAGCAGGAATGTTGTGCCCTGCTCCGCCTCTGGAAAGGCCTTTTCTCTTGCTGTGCCCTGTGTCCCATCCCAAGCTGGGGCAGCTCAGAGCAGGAAAACCATGGATTCATTAACTCCTCGCCTCAAACCGCCTCTGGGTAGAGCTGAAGCCTTTGGAATTTTTGGGAGAACTCTGAGCTGCTCCGAGTGTTTCCCACAGGGCTCGGAGCACTGGGATATGCCCTGGGGAGGGGAGGGGGGCACAACCCAGCTTCCTGCATCCCTCTGCTCATCCCGGGAATGCTGCCTTCCAAATCCCTGCTCCCAGCTGCCCCAGCATGAAGATTCCAAGGAAACTCAAGCACTTCTTCACGTGCCATTCCTTCTCCATGGAACTCTTTTTGTACGGATGGATGGAAGATCAGAACTCATCCTGCTGTAAAGATCAGGCTCCAGAATTACAACCTTATTCCATAAAGATGGATGTATATAAATTTTCTGTATATTCTATGGCACTGTGTATAAAATGGATGTTGGAAGCACGGCTGGAGTATGTGACTCTTGCCAAAGGATATCCTGGCTGCGGATGGTTGGGATTTGCTGGAGGTTTTCTGCCTTGAGAGGGTTGGGAGCGGGAAGGACACGAGGAATTTGTTGTGTGCGTATCTTGGGAATACTCCAGGGAAGCATTGAGGGGTTGGTTGGTGCTTTTCCAGCTCTGTCTGGTCTGGATCTCGGCCTTTAGGAATCATCCAAATGCAGAGGAGGTGGAAGCTGCATCCCTGGAAGTGTTCAAATCCATGTGGGAGCAGCCTGGTCTAGTGGGAGGTGTCGGGTTTGGAACTGGATCTTTAAAGTCCCTTCCCCCCAGATTGTTCCAGGATTTTCTGATCCACACCCCATGAGATCAGTTCTAGGAATGTCCCTTCAGTGGAGAAGGAAAATAAGGCAATTAGGGAAGGGAATTATGGAAAGAGCTTTGAGTGATTCCAAGTTAAATCCAACACAAAAAGAAGGATTTTTTTCCACACAGAAAGAATTTTAGTGCAAAGCAGGTTGATTACAAGGAATCCTCTGGGATTGGTGGGAATGGCAGGGAGAGGAGGATGAGTGCTCTCAGTTAAAATTAGATCCCAGATATTTCGTATATTCAATATTCCAGCCAGAACAATGTGGGAATCTGCCCTATGGATAAACATGGAGGTGCCGGGATCCTTCTGCAGGAAAGGTGAGTCCAAAGTGGGATTTTCCCAGTGAGGAGCATGGATTTGCGGTTGGAAAGCAAGATCTCCCCGCCTGGGGCTGTTCCCACTTCTTCAGTGCCATGGAATTCATATTCTGGATTCATATTATGGATTACAGGGTTGGGGAATAAGGAGAGGAGACGAGCCAAGAGAAATACAGGGAAAAGGAATGCCTGGAAGCAAATAATCCCGTTAATGGCTGCAGGGAATGTTTTTTATGGCTGCTCCCAAAGGGACTACCATGGAGTCCCTGAGAGTCAAAGGTGGCTGAACTCCTGAATTCCCATAAAAATGCCTCTAAAAAAGTGGAATCTGAAAATGTTGGAAGGTTTGTGCCTGATGTTTTGTGGGGGAGGGAAATCTGTGGGATTTTCCTCCCTACCTGGAGCTGTATCGGTCTCCTAAAAGGATCTTGGCTGTCCTGGGAAAAGGGAAACATCCTACTGTGGCTGCTATCCTTGGATAAACATGGAATAATCCATGTTTAGGAGGGACTGCTTTAGTTCGGGAAAACACATGGATGTGGACACAGCAGGAATGGTGGATGCTCCTGTAAAACCTCTTAAAAGCCTTAATTAGGGATGTGGTTGGATTTTCCAAGGAGATTTTCTGGCTACTGGGTGGTGTGCTGGTGACTTTAGGAAAAAATTCCAGCTGATTGAGAAAAGTGGTTTTCAACCCATTGGGAAAAAAACATTGGGAATGACACCAAAACTCCCAAATTTTCCAAGAACTTTTAAGCCAGACTGATGAATTCAATTTTAGTGAAAAACAAGGAGGGAAAATAATGGGAATATGTCACTAATTAAAGCTGTGGTCTGATTGTTAGTTATTTAGATGGAAACCAGCATTGCAGAAATTAATTCCTCAGGATTTTTCCAAGGATTCAGTTGGAAAAGAAGGAAAGGAAATAGAAAGATCCTTGAAAAATCAGCCTGGAATGTGATGTATACCCAGTTTTCAGCAGGGATGATGTTCTGGTGGGTTAAGTTCCACTTCTTTGCCAACTGATTTTTTTTGGAAATAGTTTTGATAAGGGATCCAAAACCAAGGAATATCTGGCAGGATTCCTGTCTGGGAGGTGCTTGGATTCAGGAGAACCTCATGTGCTTTAATTCACATTGACCAGAGAAAATTGGGATGATAATCCCAATTATGGGGGGGATATTCCCTCGATTGAGGGTGGATTAGCACAGGGAGATCGGGAGCCAAGGAAAACCTTGGAAGAATGGTGGGAGAGAGGAAAGAGTGGGAGAGAGGTTGTGTGTGGGGTAGCTGATGAAGGGCCACTGTGGCAGAGCTGGATCCCAGAGCAATCCATGTGTATTGCTCTGGAATCACGGATCTGGGAATCAAATCCATCGTTTAGCTTGAAAAAGCCCTCGCAAATCAAATCCGGATGGAATTCCTGGGCTCTTCCACCAGCATTTGAGTTTTCTTGCTTTTTCAGTGCTTGGCTTTCCCTGCCTTTCCAGCAATCCCTGCTCATCCTTCCTGTCACGGAGCTTCCTTGAAAAGCAAATCCAGCTTTTGGGGGCATGTTTGTCCTGCCAAAGGTGTCCGTGGAGTTTGGATATCCTTACTGGGATCTGCAGGAGCTGGTGGGTGACTCTTCCCAGCATTCCAGGGCTGGTTTGAGCCCTCACATTTCCAACTCTGCTGGTGTTCCGGGATGGAAGTGTCTCCCAGAATGTGCCCTCCTCCCTGAGGATGTTCCTGAATCCCTGTATAAACCACTGCAAGGGCTGCCCCACATTGGGAATGAGCCCTTTGGAGAGAATGGATAACCAGGGAGGGATTCTTAGTGCCAGGAGGAGAGAAGGGAGGCAGCTCTGCTTCCAGAGGGGTGGGAGCTTCCCTGGGAGTGTGCAGGGAATCCTTGGCTGCCTTTCCTGTGCCTAGGCTCCTAGGGAATCTCCCTGTCCCTGGACTCCCAGGGAATCTCCATGGCCAATCCAATTTGCGTGCTGCTATTTTGGATCACAGCTGGGAGCCATGCTGGGAAAGCTGGGAATGTCCAGCCTGGAGAAGGGAACACACCTGAACCATTCCAGGATTCTGGGATAACTCTGGGAGCACAAGTTCTGAAATAACTTGGAGCCTTTTGGGAATCAGTGACTTTGGCGGGATTTGGAGCTGTTTGGGGGCAGTTTGGGACTGGATTTGGGACAGTTTGAGGCTGGAACTGGGTGCTCTGGGACTGGACTGGGATAGTTTGAGACTGGAATTTGGTGCTTTGAAACTGGCCTGGGTTTTGATTTTGGGCTGGGTTTTGATTTTGGGCTGGGTTTTGATTTTGGGCTGGGTTTTGATTTGGGGCTGATTTTGGCGATTTGGGGCTGATTTTGGCGATTTGGGGCTGGATTTGGGAGTTTGTGTCTGGATTTGGGGGATCTTTGTTTTGGAGCCCCACAGGCTGTTTGATCCTTATTTCCCCCATGTCAAACAGGCTGAAATTCCGATTCCTTTTGCTCCCAAGTTCCCCATCTCCCTTTGTGAGTCTGTTTTAAGGGCCAAACTGACCAAAGACACAAATTCCAAATTTTTTTTACGGCTTTAATAAATCCAACAAACGGATACACAAACTCTGAGTAAACCAGGACTAGGAGATCCCAGGCATATTTTTCAGGACTCAAGCTATCCAGGATCCCGTGGGATCACACAAGTGCATCCCTGAATGGTGGATTCCTTGCAGGAAGGGAGCTGGAGCATCCCTTTTTTTGGGGACGCCGCATTCCTTGGTGTCATCAGTTTTCCCAGTGGGTCTTTTCCCTTTAATCAGGTCCAGGAAGGGAGAGAGCAACATTCCTTGGGAATGACTGAGAGGCAGGAGGAAGAGAAGAACTTGGATCATTCAGACCTGTATTGGGACACCACAGGAGGAGGAAAGATGGGAAGGAGCAAAGATCCCAAGGGAAGGAGTTAGATCCAAGTGCTTTGGGATCAGGATCCACAGGCTGCCTGCTTGGATTGGGATAAACAGCCACTGTGCCTTCTCAGGGAAAAGTGGGAATGGGATTGTCATGGTTTTGCTCTGGGTCAGTTTGCTTTTACACCCCCTACACGATTATTATAAGTTAAGAGAAGGTTTATGCAGACAAAAGAGACTGGATTGGGGGAAAATAATATTAACATTTATTACTAACAAGCTAAAACTAAAGAATCATATCTACAACAATTTTACTTAAGTAAATTACTAGTATTTACAGAAATATTTCTCCCCCCTTTATATCAGTCCAAGGAGGAAAAACAGTTTCTCCATGCTCAGAGCTCCAGGTCTCTTCAATAACTCTGCAGCACTCCTGTCGCAGCTGGAACTCTTTCTCTTTTTATCTTGCTCTGTGTTAGCCTCCAGGGCTGGGCCTACCCCCCTCTTGGGCTAAGACTGGAGGCTGGGGGTTACCCAGGCCCTGAAGGTTTTCTCTTCCATGGATTTGCGAGGGGACACTTGCCTACCGTGGATCTTCACCATAGGATTACAGAGGATAATGGCTTATGAGTCTACCCCTGTTTTCCTGTGGAGGTCCCTTCTCACAGGAGAACAGTCCTTGATAGACCTCTCCGACATGGGTCTAGCACGGACCCTGTGCATGGATCCTAACATCCTTACCCGAGCCATTTTCTGCTCTGGCATAAGGCTCTCTCTCTCAAAGTCACAAATCTTCAGCACTAGTAGCATGGATCTCTCACTGAGATCCCAAGCTTACCCAAGCCATCTGCTCCAGCGTAAGCCTCATCCCTTCAGGGTCATAAATCTTCAACAGGACTCTGCCTCATTTCAGTCCCTCTCATGAAGTCTCAGTTCTCTGCTACATCCACAAGCTCCTCTGTGAGCTGCATGGGGGGTCTCCTCACCCCAACAATCTTCTACAGGTGGCAGGTATTACTTTTCAGTCTTTTCCCTGCTGAAGGGAGAGAGCAAAAGGGGGGAGTAATAGGTCCCCCTTTGCACTTCTTTTTCCTGCTGCAGCTCTGGCCTTGAACATTTCGTTATCTCTTTGCCGGAATTCTTTTGCAGCGGTTTCTGTCCAAGTAGTCAGTCCTTCTCTAAAGTTTTTTTTTCTTCACTCTCTTACATGAGAGAAAGGGGGGCTTCAGTGCTACACTGGCCCCCAGACCAGCCTCTCCTACATGGCTGCCTAATTTCAACTGCGCCACAGCCTTTTCTTCCATTTTCTTAAATATGTAATTAGCAAAGGCGTTACTGAGAGTTTTAATTGGCCTTTTTGTCCGGAAATCCACCTGGACAAAACTATCCTCAGCCCCAGGGGCTGGCCGGTTGGGCAAAACCACGACAG